AGCAAAGTTTCATGTAACTCAATCATCTTGTTTCGGATGCCATCATTTGTTACCAACTGTACTGTCCCCTTTGCCTCAATGTTGGCTGAAGATTGACCAGCCAGCATCAGCCTTCCAGACCGCACGGTCTCCAAATCTGAAAAAATATTTGCATCCCGACATACATGAGATGTGCTTCCGCTGTCAAGGCACCAACGATTACATCTCTCCATGGATTGTGTATTGAGAGCGATACCATCCACATCATATGTAGTCAGAAAAGCGTCTTTCACTTGTGCTGTTTTCGCACTAGGTGCACTACGTCATGGACACTCCGGAACTTTATGTCCTAATTTATGACATTTAAAGCATTTTACTTACCATTTTCCCTTTGAAGTGCTGATATTATTATTAATATTATTATTGTTTATAATTACGATTACTATCGAATTTGTTTTTAATAAACGGCAGGTGCCATGATTACGAATCCTCCATCTCTTCCGTCGGAATTCAACGTTGCTGAATCTACTGACCCCCCAGGGAGTGACTAAGTTCAGCTTTCAAGATCTTCAAGACTTCTGTGATCACACGTACGATCACTTCATGATCGCAACGTAGCTAATATAGAAGCAGAATTCTCCTCCGTGGGCAGACACTGCCCGAAAGCTTCCAAGAGCAGGGGCTCTTCTATCACAGCCATCTTATAATCTTGAAAAGAAATCTTCCCATCCCGGTTCACGTCCAACTTCTTCAACGCCAGCTCGGATAAATCCTTCACCGCCTCGTCGGGATCCTCCTCTCCCGGTTGCTTGATCAAACAATGCCTTCGAGTGAGCAAAACGATTATTAACGCGCGATTGATCGCGTAGAAAAATTGAACTGAGCTTATGTATTATTATTATTTTGTAAATCTGTAACGAGACAGTGATACTTACTTGAACAATTGAAATATCTCGTCCTTCGTGATGAAACCGTCGTTGTTCAAGTCGTACACTTTGAAGCAGAACTCGATCTTCTCTCGCAGACTACCGCGGAGATAAAGATCCAGTCCCATGATCCACGCTTCCAACCTGACGATGCCCTCGTTGTCTCGGTCCCAGCAGCAAAATATACGCTCCACCAACGCGTCCTCCGTTATCACTTTGAACGTATTGTGTAACAAGTCACGGAAAATAGTCCTGTCTATGCCCTGAGCAATCGTTCAAAACAATTCTTGTATTTTATGACTAGACTTGGGATTTTTAATTTAAAAAATGCGACCTGTATTCTACATGCTCGGTCGTAATATCTGGGAATCAGAGGTTTGAAAGGAAAATTGTGATTACCATGTGAAACAAATGTCGGTTTCTTATTACAGGTACACGCATGCATGTCAGGTAAGACTGTAATTACCTCTGTAGCTTGATTGGGCTGCGATCTCCTACCGATGATGACCGATTGCCCTACTTGTTGCTGTCCCAAGCTGGTCAGCTTTTTGTACAGTTTAAACAAACTGTCCAACTCCAGCCTACGGTCCTCGGAAAAATCAAATACGGGCGAAATCATTGTACGAATCTTTGTGACACGTTTACGAAGACAGACATAATTAAAATTAAAAAATCGTCGACCACGATAATATTGAGAGATCGACGAACGATCAGTATACTATATAAGACAGTAATTATAATTTTTCATCTCCGAGCGAAAGTTGCTCCACGAGAGAAAATAAGAACACTTGAGACGATCGTTAAGAACTTTGCAAATTATTGAATTCATCGGCGTGCACGTTAAACGGTTCGCCTCGAAGAAACCTTAGAGAATGCTCTGTACTTGCCACGAGAATCTGGTTTTCCTCTTCAACGCTTCGGTGAGCTTGATCGTGTGCGCCGAGCTTCTCGCGCTTCCGACGACCGGCATCGTTCTGCGAGACCTTCTACGAGGCTCGTTCTTCGGGCTGCCGGAAGTTTGCCTCTTGCTGGTCACGGAAGCTTTGCGGCCGCTCATCAAGAAGATCGAGACGCTTTTCATGAGCGTCGTGCCGGTACGGAGGTTCACGGCGCTCACGCCGTCGGCGCCGACGCCGACGACCCCGCTACCGTGATCCATTCGAGGTTTCGCGCTCGACGAGAGGCTGCGTTCGCCGGACATCTCTCTGAAATTCGTCGACGAGACAGTCTGATCAGTCGATTCCACCAAAGCCCGCGTGACTTGGGCGTCCTTCTTTAATATGCATCACATGGGTCTCGGTGAGTTTTATAGAAAATCGAACTACGTTAGAATTGAAAATCAGAATACATTGTGTCGCTCATTGAAACGCGAATAGTGTAGTTGCTCGATCTCTTCTTCCGAGAATTCCTTCAATCTTGTAAAAAGACGGAATCGTCAATACTGTGGAACGAAGTAGGATACGATTTGTTCTAAGCATCTTTCTAACTTCGTCCATGATTTAAGTGACGATCTGTGAATTTTGAGAAATCGGTTGATTAATTAATTGTCCGACGAATTGTGGAACGTAGTTGGAGGATGTGTTCTGGTTGGTTCTAATTATAGTAGGAATAACATGAAACGCAAATTGGACAGAAGCTATGGTTACGGATCGATTGATCAATAACGGGCGATTAATCGCCTTCGATTGAGAACCGAATCCTTCGGTCGTTTCGTTCGTTCTTCTCGTGCTCTGCTGCAATTCTACTTGAATCCGATTCAGATTCAATTGAATTTCTTAATGTAAATATCATGTAATTTACAAAATAAGAACGTTCATTCCGCTGGTCGTACTTGATAGACCTATCCACGATCTGCACATTCGATCGAATATGAAGTAGATTTAATACGCTGGAACTGTGTGCATTTTGCCATCGTTTCGTGCAGGATCGTGCCAGAAACTCGTTACAAAACGATCCGAAGTTCTGTGCGTTTCCGAAGCACCAATAAAATACTTGTTTCATCGTGTTTCTTGCATGATTGTTACGCCGTGCCTGGCACTACGAGTGAGAACTAATTTCAGGAAAAATGCTTCACCGGATATTCAATCTCTGATTCGTAAGATTTACATCTATTGCACTACGCCTCGTACCATTGCTACACCTGCCACTTGCCTTTAAATTATGGCCTCTCATTCGGATCTATTAAGAAAATTGACCCGATCTCGATAGAAATTTTTTACGACTTATTTTTCAATGTATTCATTAAATCTGGACGTTCTGTGAAATCGAATTGAAATCATGTCATGGGGAGGATCGCTCGTTCTCTAATATGCTAAACTCCAGTCATACGTCACTAACGATAGATCCGAATGAATACGTCGGATTGAATCGAATTAACTAATTTGAATACAGACATCAGAGGTGCAATTTCACACCAAATTTGATCGCATCACGATAACAAATACCACCTCCATCGGGTTCTCGATTTAGCTCAAGTGCAGTTTGCGTACACGCGACTTATGAGTCATGCAAATTGCCTCCATCGTGCAACGAGATAAAGAAGAGTACATAATTATCCCACAGACACGATGTTAAATTATTTGTATTTTATTTTATTACATCGAAAGATTGACGTTTCATATTATTTCTGTGGTGTCACTTTTCGATTTCACTTAACCGTTCACAATTCGGGGAAAAACTCCGTTCTGTATTTATTCGACTCGTTTAGTCGTCGATCAAATTTCGTTGTTACAGTTTTACAAGAATTGTATCGGCGATAAACTTACCTCATAGTAGCGAAATAAATGATCGCACTCCTCGTTTCTTTCTTGTTGCCAGTAGCTACGTAACGAAATCGACCAAACATTTTAAATAGAGATCGCACAACAGTTTCTCTGAGCGATTCATAGCGGGGATTCAAATAACCAGACGCCAGTTCTCTTAAGAATATTTTTATTGCTAGCGACAATTCAGTTCTATAAATCGGTAGTATTCATAGAAGGATTATCTATCATGGATGGATGAAGGATATCTCCTGGAGGAGAATTTCTATTATCTAAAGCATCGACACTTTGTTTGGTTGATCCATCGACGGTTTTTCAGTGTTGGTCGACGGCGATGACAGCGTAGAGTGATGTTTCCTGGATCACCGATCTCACTTTTAACATTCGAAACCGTGAATAATTGTCAGATTAATTTCTTACTGTCTTACCTGCAAAGTCTGTCGAAGATGTTCCGAACGAAGGTAACGTGGTTCTGAATATTCATCAGCACGTTGTCCAAAGTATGCGCGATATTTTTCACGGTCTTCATCTCCAGTTCGTTTACACTCTCCAGTCGAGAAGGCTGGAGCCCTTGATAAAAAAAAAGAGTTAGTAGAACATTTGAATGGAAGCAGAAATTCTTGCGAACGTGAATCAATGATTACTCCAATTTCCATCGCTCTCGTTCAGATTCTCTAATTCCTCGATCGAGCTTAGAAGATTCCTCAGACCGTTCTCGTTCTTAAAGGGCTTCACGGTCGAAGCGTCTACCGTTTCACTGACTTCGATGTTCTTCAGAGTGACGGTTCCGTCTCGAATCAATTCCTTGAGAACCAGATTTAATTCCTTGAACATCTGTGCCTGCAACGTAAACCGGACGTATTAAATCGAACGGGTGCTGCTCGGTTCGATCGAACTTGCCTCGCGCTGTATCAGGTTGCTCAAATTAGGAAAGTCTACCAGCAGTTTCTCGAGTTCCTGGCCGCCGAGTTGAACGGCTTGCTTGATCATTATATCCTTCACGCTGGTCTTTGCCTGCGAGTCATCGTTCCCAGAGAAGTCGTCGGCCACCCGATGCACTCGAGCACTCCTCTGCTGCTCCGCTTCCGTTTGGTTCTCCTCTTATAAACCAAGACGATCGAATGAAATTGGCATTGGAAAAATTAGTTCGCGGATTATTATGCATAAAACACTGTTCTTATATTTATATGAAACGATATCAGATTGATCTCTTCGTACCTTTCGAATCTAACTTGGCGAACGATCCATAGTGAATCTAAAATGAAACAATTGATCACGTCTCGTGTCGATTAAGACGAGAAGCTTCTACTCACTTGGAGGAAAACGAAGAGTAATAAAACCGCAGAGCACTTCATTGTTTCGCGTGGTGTTAATCTTGCCAGGTGATCAGTACACCGTTAATGATCGGCTGCGATATAATCAGCGTACTTTATAGCCGCGGCACGCGTGGTTTAAACAGATCGAGGTATGCCGTATTTTTCAAACATCCCTCGCAAACATCCGCGCGAGATCACTGGCCAATGACGAATCGTGTAAATTCGTAATGGATATCGAGTGCACGTCAGGGTCAAATTCAATTCAATCGCTGTTATAGTCAGAATATAATTTATTCGGATTTAATTACAAAATGGTTTAATAATGAATGTTACAAAATTGAGCAACGCTCGATCATTATTAGACCGAAGCTTTCATGGAATTAGAAGCATAGTAGATTTCGTATATGTTAATGTTCAAGTGACAAAAGAGGTGCATATTTTTTTATTCGATGCATGAAAATTCGCAGTCTAGTGATTACTTCAGGATTAACAACGTCCGGGGTAGATCTCTTATCTTCCGATGGCTCTGAAACACGAAAACATTTCATGACATTACACGTTTGAGAAAATTGAAGTATAAATATACGTTCGTCGCGTCGGATAATTTTGCCTTTCTGATAATAAGCGGGTTTGCGTACGTGTACGTGTTAAAAGTAACTTTGCATAAAACAAATCTTAATTTACGCAGACAGACCGGAGATGCACTTACAGGAAAATGGAATTATAATCAGAATACGAGAAGCTGATTATTTCAACGTTTAAGTTGACGATTGACATGACTCGTCGTCGTTTAAATGACTAATTAAAAAATAGTTACTCGGCTTTTGCGAAAGGACCACCTCATCCCCAATGAGGGTAGCCATATCCACCGTATCCACCGAATCCACCAAATTTGTGGAAGCCGCCACCGAATCCACCGAATCCGCCGCCGTATTTGCGGAAGCCTCCACCGAATCCACCGAATCCTCCACCGAATCCTCCGCCGAATTTGTGGTAGCCGCCACCGAATCCACCGATTCCGCCGAATCCGCCGAACCCGCCGAGTCCACCTAGAAGGAAGGGTTCCGGGTTCGCTTCCCTGGCGACTCTTATCGGAGCTACTGAAAATTTTCGAGGAATTATAAAACAGGATTGGATTTAATGGAAATTTCAAGCATCGATCTTGAAATAAATCAAGATCTCCCGAGAACAGATTTAATCCATCGAATGAGCAATTATACGTTTACTAAACGATGAATCACAGCGTTAAGAATGTTTTGGTTGCTCGTCTCCAGTGACGAATAACAGCGTTAATCATTCGCGCGTAAGGATAACATGTGTCGAGACGTAAAATAAAAGCAGTCATACGACCATCAGACAACTACGCAGTTAGTGTACAATACGAGTTCTTTTGTTTAAAGTGTCTCATCCTGTAATCCGACGTTCGATTTCTACTCACCACTTTAATTGCATCACGTCAATTGTTCAAAAATCGCCCACTCCTTCATGTCGAATTTTGACATAATTTTGATTATCAAGTACCGTACCTTCTTCCGCGACCTCGTAGACTGGGTAGGCCAAGGCAGTGGCAAATACTGCGATTAGAACCAACGCGACCTTCATGTTCCTGGGCTTGATGCTAGGCTCCTTCGAGATTCGATTGCGAAGTGAGGATTAAGAAACCCGGAGGGCGCTCTTTATATAGTAATCGCGAGTGTTCTGGGATGCCCCAACGCGGTTGCGGAGGTTCCAAACAGGAATTGTTCATGAGGAATAGCCGCATCTCATTAGCACAAACGGACGGGGCTATCCTAGTGTGAACACGGTGTAACGAGCCGCTAACGTGACGACATTATCACATTTCGACTGAATGATAGTAGCCGATGATTCGACAGAATCTCGTCTTTTTTGTGCAGGGATCTCGATGTAAAGTGCAATCTTATATAAAGCGGATCGTAGAACGAAACTTTATGATTTCTTAAGAATTTGGCGCTTCAAAGGTTTCGAAGGCTGGAAGGTGACTTGCTGAAATTGACTAGCCGGAAGATTGAAAATTGGCCGTGAAATTGTCATGAAAAATGTCGGATGTCATTAGAAAAGTGAACTTATGCAATGAGTTGCAATTTCTCGTTCGTGGAATCGATTAGAGGGTGTAACGTGTGTATCCGGTTAATTGCTCAATGAACATCTCGCACTGTTAGTAATTAACAGTCAGAGTACTTAATGACATTACAGAACTCGTTTCTCATACAGACACGATGCAATTCTTTTTTCATGATAATGAAACGAAGCAGGGTTTGGGATTGTGATTCATTATGAAGAGACTCGACTCGTTTGAAAATATGTTTATTTCATTTTATCATCGACTTATGCATATCTTACGTATCGTTCAGGAAAGATCTGAAAGAATTAATTCGTCTTGCGTCGCTTGACTTCACAAACGGCAAACTGCGGACTTCTACGCGAAATAAAACATAAATTTAGATCGCAAACTTAAAAATAATCGTGTGTATCGTGCTGAGTGGATTCATATTTGTAAGTGCATAAGAGTCTCCTGCTTCAGTCTAACGATCTATCTATTTTATTATTGAAACAATAATTTGTCTTCGCTAAATTTGCAAGTCATCGTTAATTCTACGAGTAATGAGTACACTACTTCGTTGTCCCGTTCGATCGTGGCAGTTTTACCCTTCGCTAAAGTAACCGTAGTATTGCACTTGCCTTCCACTACGTTTTTCCTAATTTAAACATAGAAAACTACACCTGTCAAAAAGTTTTCGATCAAATTTAATCGTACAAATCGAAGACGTGCGAAGCTCCAATGTCGAACGTTCAAAATCTTAAAGTAATCATTCTGTTTTCATTACCCAAGTGTTATTCGTTTCGATCAAAAACATTTTGTCAGCGTATTAATTGTTAAGAACACCGGTACAGGGTTTGCTTAATTCGTTCGATAAAATCTGGCAGGAATGCGAATCGATTTAAAGGATCGTCCGCGTGTCCACTCCCGGAAAGTGTCTACGGTCGCTTTTTCGCTCGAGGAATATTGATTTGGACGGTACCGAGAGTTGGACAGCTCGTTCGTCGATTCAGCGTGTCCGATAGAAAGTGGAACATTCGGGAATCTATTCCTCGGACGTCGGTGCGCGCCGTTTTTTCCTGTAGAAATTATTCGATTAATCGAACGAAAAATCAGAAATTGTAGTTTGCAATTCTTCTCTCGTTAAATTAAATGTAATTTTATTAATGAGAAACGTACCCGTTAGGAGATCCGCCGTAAGCAGTCGCTACCGAACTGGCCATGCCACCCTTCGCAGTGGAGTAGCTGTTGGCGATGGCAGTGACCGCGCCAGGGGGAGAACCACCGGAAGATCCGGCTCTAGTGGACACGCCGGGGAAGCTGAACACCATGGGGAAGAAGTTGTTCAAGTGCGGATAGTGTTGTCGGCGACGATTGCCTTTGAAGGGGACGAAGGGTACCGACGGTTCGTCGTCCTCCTCGTCGTCTTCCTCTTCGTCCTCGACGACCGGGGTTTTCTTGTTTTTCTTCCCATGATGAACTTTCGGACGGTTCGCCTCTGTGTTCGTGCGGACCGGCTCCTCCGGAGCTACCGGGACTGCCTCGGTGAACGCAGGAACCGGTTCTGGTTCCTCCTGCAGTTATTTCTTTTAATAAGTAGGTTTTCATGCACATCGTCTGTTTCGATTCATGCGAGTTTGTTCTATCGTTTAAAGATTGCATGCATTTATATTTGCCTACGAACACATAGAATTCGCAGTTAATTAATTTTCAAATGATTTTATCTAATTAGTAGACTGCGGATCTTTCTACGGAACTGGTACTTTTGAATCACTCGTGATCTTCCACAGTTATTCGTGATTTCCGTGATTGTTTCAGATTCTTTAAAAATCCGCTATAAACGTTTGTCCGATCGTTTAAACATTGAAACATCTATTCAGCTTCTGACATTCTGAATACAAATTCCGTTTGCATTCAATTTTCTTACAATAAAGTCTGCACTTTACTAATTCGCGAACGTTTCCCACTGATATAACTATTCATCGAAAACAATGAGAAAGTTCGAGGATACGTTTTATACAGTTCGTAAACAAAAATTTTTTAGTATCTGTTTCTCGTTTCTGCAAAGCGATTAATTTAATAACTCGTTGTTGAACAATTTAGATTCTCATAATACCTGAGGCGGGGCATGATGTTCGTGATGATGCTCTTCCTCCTCGTGGTTCGGCTGCTCGTCCTGCGGCTCCTCTTCGTGATGATGGTGATGGTGATGATGGTGCTCGTCCTGTTGGTGATGCTCCTCGGGCTTGTACTCGTCCTGCTGCACCTGAGTCTGGTCGTCCTCGTTGTAAGTCTCCTCACCCTCCGGCGACGCTTGGGCTTCAGCGCTGGACACTTCCGGTTCTTCGATCGGTTCCGGGCCGTTCTTCAAGTGTGGCGCTTGCATGCCACCGAAGAAGGCCTCTCCGCTCACGGCGTTTCCCTGAGCGAACACGCCGGTCGCCTGTCCACCCGAACGGCGGATCGGTCTGTAGTAGCTGGTGAACATCATGGCTCTGTGAGGATACGGGCGCACGGCTGTCCTCTTCTCTCGCACGAACACCATCGGGTTCCCATATGGGTCCAGCATCACTGAAACTTTTCGAGGAAAAAATGTCAGTTCGATCTTTAAGAAAGATGAGAAGGTCTCTTCGGGGAGTTCCCATGAAATTTTATAACGGAGCTACGACGAAGTATGAAGAGAGTCTGAAAAAACTGAGACGTTTCTTTGAGACTTACTGGGTTCGGTAGGGACGGCCTTAGACTCCGTCAGAGCGACGATCGCAGCCACGGCGAGCAGGGTGAAGCTGACCCAATGCGCCATACTGAACGATATGCTGAAACTCCGAAATCGAGACACGATAACTGTGTGGCTATTTCGTCGGGGAGGCACCACGGCACCTGCTCGTTTCAACTACCTGAGTCGCGAACTTTTTGCACGATGCTGCTAGTCTCGGTGGCCGCAATTGCTTTTATACCAGGAGCTAGGATCACGCCGACCGGGGATGGGACGGGCGAACACGGGCCATGGGATGGATCCACCACGGGGATACGGGACCCTCCGTGTGCATGGGTCCCCACCATCGTCAGGTGGTTGCCTCGTACCCAACAGAATCGTCGTAACGCAAACGTGCGCATCATTCAACGATACGTGATCGTAATTCGAGATCGGACATTGCCGGGATCGAACGCATTAATTGCGATCCCTGATTTTTACGTTCACCGTATCGCTTCCAACAAAATAGTCGACGTGGTCATTTTACGTACGCGAGAAACCTAAAGAACGGTGCACTGAAGTAAACAGCGGCACTCCTAAGTCAACAATGTTCCTAATTAATTTTCTAATTAATGAACGTGTGCGACATTTTACACGTGCACATGGATCGATCGGACTTCAGACGATTCTTAACGAGGGTGAAGTCTACCCTATTAACCATTCAGCAAATTTGTTATGAATCGCACAAATACGATGATTCTTATCAAACGACTCGTTAAAGAAGAAATCATTTCTCACAGTTCAGATCTTATTCGAATTCGTTGTTGAACATGATTCAGCATTGGTTGAAAATCTGTTGAATGACGCGGGAAGGCAACGTACGTAAGCCGAAGATTAATATTGAAAGGTCTTTTCCGACAGGAAATAACGAAAGATTATCATTGAGCCTGGAGATTGACAGATGATATCGGTGTTTCCTCCATGAGTCAGGCAGATTGGAGGCCCGATAAAAGGCATCTAACGCGAGGTTCATACATTTTCAATCGTTCTATAAATACATCGCGATCCAAGGAGCGAGCCAGGGCGACGCTTTCCGTCGATTTTCTTCGACCGCGGCCGGCCGCGCTTTCGCGGGAATCCGCATTTTCAGAATCCCCCTTCCCCCAATTTCTCTTCATTTTTTATTCCACGACGCGAATCTTCCGCGAATTTCATCCCCCCACGCATAATCAGTCTGCGGGCTTCCAAAATGCAAAATGAAACGTTTGTCATACGAGTTTGAAAACTGAAATTTAAATGGTGATTTATTTCATGCTTTAAAGAAAACAATACGCATCACGTTTTCCACAAGTGTATCAAATCCTCAAATCTAATGATCAGGGTTTCCGCCTGATCCGTCACAGGACTTTACTTTCGGACCAAATTAGTCTGTATTCTATTTTTATAGAGCCTAATTAGTCGCGTTGGTCGGATTATTTTCGATCGTCCGGCCGGCGTTTATTTCCGTCGGAACGGTTAAGGTTAATGACGTCTGGTTTGACGTAACGATTTAATATGAATATTAGTGTCCGGTCATACTCGGCCGAATAGTGGCGAGTATATGAGTTGGTCAGAGGCGACGATAATTCTCGGGGATGATCAAAAGTCCGTAAGAGTCCAATGGCGGTGGCCGCGACGCTCGTGCTCTGAATTACAAGCAAATTCAGACAGATCCGCCTTCGTGTGTCACTGTACCTATACGACGTCTCTCTCTCTCTCCGCTCTTTCTTTGTTCGTCCCGCGCTCGGCATCGAAGAGCAACGGAATTACGATCAGCTCCGCTAGTCTTCTGCAGGAGCCTCGCAAAGACCCCTTTTAACAGTATTTCTCCTCTGTTCGGGGTGCATTATTCATCCCGCACCGTTCCTGTTTTTCTTCCCTCGCTAGACGATATCTTCGCCTCGATTTCCTATTGTTTTTTTGCCTGCAAACTTCGTATGCCGGATAATCCTGATTACTCATTAGACATTAATTGGTGCGAAAGAAGCAGCGAAACTTGCTATTGCCGTGTATGTTAAACTTGTTTTAATTTCCGTCCTGAATTCGCCGTCGATCTCTCGTCGGTTTTATCATTATTTTATCCGAAAATAACAGGAAATCGTTTTAACGAATGCCTGGTACCCGGGGGGGTTGTTCAACAGGATTAATATCGGCGATTAAATCGTCGATCGATCGCGCACGGTCGTTGTACCGCTATCGTGAATACTTCATGAATTCGTATTATTTCATGAATCAACTTCGCAAACGCACCGTTCTCCAAGTCACGCATATCGTATTTTCGAGCGTGACCAGCCGGACCAAAGCGGCCACGTCCGCCGACCGATAGAACGAACGACCGTTCCGCTCGGATGCAGCTGGATTCGCGATGCACCGCAAAAATTTACATCGCTCTTACCCTCCTTAAGTCCCTCTGTCCTTCGCGGAGCCGCGCCGTTTCTCACGGGCCCGCGTTAAGCTGTGTATTCACTTGTGTCGTTGCCTTCTTTCTGTATCACAATTCTGTATCATCGTTGTCATATCACATCGTGACACAGTGATGTATCGTAGAGGATCAGCCAATGAGACTCGTCATTTAAATATCGTAGTGCATCCATTCAATAAGTTCCATCGACTGAAAATTGATGCGCGTACATTTTCAAACGAGACATAAGAATGATCAATCATCAGACATGATTTATTCTATGTACAACGAGACAAAGTCTGATGTTCATATAATACTGCAATTGGATACGTGCCTTTATCGAGGGAACTTCTCGGTCCTCCTTTCATGTTTCCATAAACTGAATTTTTCCCCATTTGCCTGTAACAGTGTTGAAACATCGCGGATGTCATAGGGCCAGTGTCGTTACAAGATTACACGGCTATAAAGTGGACGTTAAGTGCAGTCCTGTTCGCATCGTGGCTGAATTCTCAGAATGCAATTTCCCTGTTCAATTGTATTTATGCACGGGGGTCCGGTTCGACGACCCCGTAAAATAGTCCTATTTCGCGGATCGTTCTCCCAGACGAGGAACGAAGGAATCAGTCCATTGGTCCGCGTTAAAATTCGCGACGCGCTCGCGTCCGTAGACTTATAGTTGCCTAGATAGAGGAACGTGATCGGGCAATACTGCTCGTGTCGATTCGTTTCTGGATAGCAACAAGTTCTTCAAACGCATGTACGCTAAATCGATCCATTCAGGAGGCTCCCGATGCTTACTTATTCTTGGCTAAACATGCTCTACATAAACAGGATTTGAAAATTGGAATCAATTTCGAAGAGTAAAGAACTGCGGTCCAGATTTCCTGATTACAAATTTCATTTCTCAAGTTTAAAACCGTGCTTGCACCTTCTTGTAAGTTTGCCAACTGATTGGGGCACCCTATGTAGGGTTTCGCTTTCACCGATAATTTCATGGCTCCGTCGGATCGTAAAGTATGGTCGTGCGGTTCGAGGTGGCTCGTAAATCGGCGACCGCGACTATCGATGGATTCGTATCGACGTAAGGCGCACATCCACTCGCATTATACCGTGGTACTTGCGCATAAATCATGACTTCTTTCAATAAAATCGTACTTGAATACTCGGTAACGGCGGTGTGTATGACACGTACGGTACCGCGAGGCGAATACGAGGATATGACACACGAGTGTATATGCACCTGTAAAGAATTGGCGAATCGGAGGACGTCGTCCGGTCGCGAGGATCACCGCTCTCGCGGAGCAGAGCGCATGTAAACCCGATGCGATGATGCAAGTCCCATAATAATGGAATTCAACTGCCGTCCGTCCGTCCGTTTCTACGTCAGTCTTTAGAGCCATTCGTCTTGAGGAATCCCTTTGTTTGGCCGTTTTCCATTGTTTTCCGTCGTTTTCCGCGTGCACTGCGTCGCGTCTCGTAACCACCAGTTCCTTCGCTCACGACGCGCAGCATCGTGACTCCTCCGATCAGTTTCCTTCTCCATGGAAAATTGTATGTAACGAGTCTCGAGAAACTAATCTTTCGGCGTCCGAGAATTAATTCCGAGCGGAACCGGACGATACCGTTTTTCGTACGGTTGATCAACGACTGGTCAAGGGCCTCGATTTGGGTCAGAATTCTAATGAGTGCAGCGGAAGGGTTCAGGCGACATGAATATGCTTTAGCGATTATGACGAACCGGAAAAACTGCAAATGGCAGGAAGCTCGATTGAAATCAATAGGAACCACGATTATTAATAGAATTGTTAATACTACTCCTGGCTAAAAGTCTTCGATCGATGCAGCAGTACGACGTGTTGACACGATGGCTGCGAAGTCACACCTCGGCATGATCTAATCCCTCGAAACTGCTTTCATACATCTGTACTTTCTTCATGAAATATCGTGCCGAGGTTTTGAGAACGAATAATGCATAAAGAGAATCAGGGCTGCAGTCGTACGAAGCTTTCAAGAATATAAAACTCGAACAATATGCTCGTCGTGTATAAAAATATAAGCAATATTAAAATGTCCATTTAAAGCGCGTCCTCTTAATTGCTGCCACAAATGATTTGAACAAAAATCTGCAGTCTACTTATGACAGTGGCACGGGTCGATGCGAATGATCGTCGAGAATATATTTTTGTCGCGTTGTACTTTTTCTCGAGGTTTTTATAAGGGAAATGCCTGCATCCGTTCGACGGCGTCGCGTGAGGTGTAAAATTATTTGCTCCGTCTCGGAATCATTCTCAGAAACGATCTTGAATTAAACATCGCTATCCACGTGCCTGGCTCTTCCAGGGGGATTTCTATTGAATCGTAGATCAGATCTGGTCACGAATTAGAAAATCTAAAAGATCGATCGGACGCGTCGATTCCTCCCGGGAAGCCAGGTGCAAGGGAAATCAGATGGCAAAAAGAGTAATACGATGTTGAATGCGATGTTGAATGTTGAGCACTATAGCTTCCTATATTTTCGTTTACTGTTATTTTATTCCATCGGACCGAAGACTCTTTGCTAAGGTACTCAACAGTGGTATTTAGCTTCTTCCAAGTTCCTCCTCAAGTCCACCTCTCGCTTTGAACTTCTCATTTTCTTTCTCGATCAGTGATGACAATGATTGAATAATCTATTTATAATGAAACAAAATGCAAGCCGATGCGAAATTGATATTGGTGCCTGACGTTTCGGCAGGTGCCGCACGGTAGGAGACGGACGTGTCCGATTCCGTATGACGACGCGCAACACGTGTAAAAGTCTACGATAATATGTATGTAAGAGTCGGGTTCATCTTTGATTCCGTCCGCGGAACTGTTCAGAAACTCGTACCGTCTGGCTCGCTCGTATTGCGACAAATAGCCGATTGCTATTGTTAGACTATCATGCAAAACACACGTCTTTCGAACACGCGTCTATCTTTAATAAATAATGATGTCAAGAACAACGGAATCCTAGACGATAATCGCTTCGAATGATTCGTGTCCTGGAATTGTACTGTTGTGAATCTCGTAAAACGGCTGGAAGTTTCTCAGGCTAATAATAACACGGGAGTGAATTCATTCAGCAGTTTCCTCCGTTTTCTCGTTTTCCAGTTGTCGAACCATTTACTCAATGCGTGCACGTGTAGCAATTTCTAATTTCGTACACGAATCACGGCGAGCGGTTAGCAGCAACAGCAGTTCGCCTGGCGAGACACGACGAGTTGAAGGACCGCGTTACATCTCGGATCGCGTTCATTTCGCCGGTTTCTGGAATAAAACGGCCGCGACAGGTGTTTTGCTATCGTGTCACTGGCGTAATGCGCGTCGTATCCTGTTCACTGGCTCGAAAAGGATGCCTCCTTGAATGAGCAACTAGCGTCTCGTAGAGTACGCCTTCGAGTTCTAATTCTCGCTGCGGACGACAAATTTGCAGCTCCTTCGAAACGTGTCTCACTGTCCACCTCGGATTCTCATTAAGGCCAGAGAGAATCGTTCCAAAAACTTGTGGATTTACTTTTATCGATCGTTTACTAAAATTGAATTTGTGTGAACACTGTCAGGCACAATCTACAATCGCCATCATTGACGACTAAAGTTCAATTTTTCAAACTGATACCATAAACGTTTGAAACTGCCTGAAAATCCGCAGTCTGGTTCTAATAATATCGCGCTATCGTCCGACGGTATACGCAGAGGAACGTTAAATGAAATTTCTAGGACGAGCAGGATTGTTTACGAGTTTCGTAGAGGCGCCAGTCAGGCGATGGTTCGTACGTTCAGGCCTTAAATCAATGTCTCGGAAGACATTGATAACAGGAGCGACGTCAAATCAAAAGTATGACGAACACTTAGTTGCGTCAGCTTAGCCTAGACGTCCGACCACGGATTTACCATAAAATATATAGTGCTAGCCTTGCACGCGGCACGGAATACAAGATTTCTTCCCTTGCATGAATAAAATGTTTGCGACGCCAGCCTTTTTGCAAATTGCCAGACCGGATCTCTGCGAGATTCGGTGCCGTTCCGTGATCGTCCCGTAGCTGGTAACAGAATAAGTCTTCACTAAGTGTGCAAATGCTGTGCGATAATATTAAAGAATTTAACGTTTCAATAAATTACCACTACGTTTTGTTAATTATAAAAATCTTCTTGTCATTACGTTTGACAATGAAAATGAAGTTCGACTAGCGATAAGAAGCGTTTGAAACAAAGGGTTGTAAGAATTCACTGTGGATCAACGATTTTATTCGAAAAAACGATGGAAAAAAAGAGATCCATCGGGGGGACCCTAAAGAGTTTTTGACGTGCGTGTCACGCGCCGCGGGACCGTGTCCCGCGACTCGCGGTGCGGTAGATCTGTGCGATGCATCATTGCATGAGGATCGCGATTGCGGCTGCCTTTTGAGCACGGCCTGCCATATTTCAAGCCAACCGATTTTTCCAGTTCGCGAGACGTACACGGAATGCCTGACAATTATTCGTCGCGTCGCGTCGTCGCAGCGGGTGCACTCGGAACGATCGGAAATTTTAAAGCAGCACGCTATCTTTCGATCACGCGTCGGCGAAACCCGAGACTTTCACTTTCCGTTCTAATTTATCTGATATTAAACGCGCCAAGTCTCGAGCGACGTGGAAATCTCGCGTTCTGAACGACTTATAACGAACGATGGATTACGGAGACGTGATCGGTTGAGGGTAGAAATAAAAATGCCAAGGGGTTGCTGTGACACAGAAAATTTTTATTCCTTTTGTTACATGAGCCATGGTCCGAAATTGGTCCGAAAAGTATGGTCGGAATGGGTGGTGTGAGGATCGTGCGGTTGTCCCCGGAATGAAAATTTCATCGTTTCCGAGATTTCATTAAGTATCCCGCGACGTCCATGTCCAGGTACCTGAAAAAATCGCGATCAAACGTGTCAGAATTTTTTTAACGACAAAGTTTCATTTAGTCGATTACCATAAAATCGTATAGGAGCTTGCGGTCTGACAGCGAGCCTGAATTCAGTTGGTTACCTCTTTTGCAAATTTGAAATTTCGCGTTTGCCTTGCGTTTTCGCCGACGTGATTCGACTGCCGTCATTGGAAACGAGCCTGGACGCGACTTCGGTGGACTTTTCTGGCGGGCCGGTGGTAGCTGACGGTATGTTCGTCAATTTCTTACCCTGACGGCTCTCCTTCGACTTTCTCCTGACGTTCAGATCCGACGAGACCACAATTTCATCGAACGTTTGTCCGAAAACGGCTGAGAAACGATCGAGGAAAAATAAAATATAATTAAAGATCGAGAATAATCGTTCTATCGATTGGATGAACAAAGCGATCGACGCACGTGCAATTGTGACACACAGCGTTGAGTCACGTTTCAATAGAACGTGGAACACAGTCATGGATGACAGATCGAACAAAGTCAACGTAATTGTCTACTAATTTACTATTTAAGCCTTGTTAAAGTATTTCACTCACGGTTTTGATTGGATGTTTCTTGGGCGTTGACGATTACGCAAGCCAAAGTAATCACCAGAAGGATCAGGAAATTCGTCATCTTGCCAGATTCGTACTTTCGATTCAGTTTTTGGGGTGGTCCGAAATATATTTTAACTCTGTAAAAGCAAGACACAAAAATAGATTAATGACTATCAATATGTAGAATGGAAGAATGCATCCGCGGACAATGAAAGATGATCCCACTCGTACGTCGCTCATACAATTTTCGAATCTCGCAAACTCTCACGGAAATCACGAAAGATGGAAACTCCTCGAGAATCCTCGACGTCTTACGGGCCGCGGCGTTCACTTATTATGCGTCACTCGTGACGTGCTCGATACTAGTCGGCGAGCTTCGCCGTTCTCTGTGCGATCGGCACACTCTTTCGTAACAAAACCATTGATATCATACCAGTCAGTCACTCGGATCAGTCGTTCAATCTCCATAAACAGTCTCGATAAACGGAACCGCGAAGGGGTGGAATGGAACGACCCCGCGTCGAAGGAACTGTACGATGCTCTCTCCGACCCAGCAGGGAAGCTCTCGGCCGACTTACCGACGACTCAAGCCAGAAGATACTTTCCGAGTCGACAACCGCACGAGAAATGCGAGCACAATGCCACGGAAGGCTTGAAGAGAACATCGCGGGCTCGCTATAGTGCGTTGGTGAACAGGAACAGGTCGGGGGTAAGGGTCCAGGAGGAGGCGCCTCGCGGTCCGTTCGGTTCGCACAGACTGTACAACGTATGCACCGGCCAAACCACTTTCTATTTCATTTTTTTCTTCATCACGTCGCCCCGTCTCGCTCGTAAGGATCCTGGCCTCCCGTCCGATCGGCCGGGACGACCGGTCGGAGCCTCCGCGAGCATCCAGCAGCCGAGACATAAACAATCGTTAACGACCAGATCTTTAACGAGCCCCTTTAATGCGACCTGGACATCACGAATCTCTGCTACCGCGCGCCACTACTATTTCTAGCCAGAATCAGGACGAGACCCTCTCGTTCCATAATAATCGTAAACCGAGTCGACCCTGAAGACCCTCTGCTGCTCGGAGTAATGACCAGGCTGCTTCGTCAAAAATCGTTCGCGATAATTTCATGAGAACAGGACGAGAAATTTTATTCAGGACATGGAGCATGTGTTACATTCACCATCAGGGACGACGATCGATCAAAAATCGAGGACTCACGTCCAGCTTTCTTCGTCGTAATACTTTGGTGGACCGTTTTACCCGTTACCAGCTGCACGAGATCGAGAGGAGGTAAAAGAAAAGGCTCGTTAACTCGCGATCGTTTCCCAATAAGTTTGCTTTTTATTTTCAACGAAACAGGCTCTCTCGGTGAAAGTTGCAGGCTCGGGATCGGTCCGCGTCCATCGGGGATCGCGTGTGTGCACACGCTCACGGATCGGTCCCGGTCATTGCACGCCAGATCCCGATTTTCGGTGTTCGCTTTTTTCTCCAACGAGGCGCACCTCCACCTCTCCCTTTCGCTTCCCTTTGTGCCGTTTAATCCCCGGCCCTCCGTTCGTTCCTTGCACCGGCCCGCCGGTCCCTCCGCGCCGCCGCCGTCGCCGCGCCTAAGGTCGGGGTACTGCGTCGCCGATATTTTGTCGGTTTTATTCGCGGGAACATCTGGTGCCCGGACAAAGGAGACCCGGCCGGCCCTCAGGAAATCTCCGGGAACCGGAGGGTGGTTCGTCCCTTCCACTGCTGGCTACTTCTATTTACTTAAATCTAGTGACGTAGAATGTTTGTAAACAATGGCCCGGGTCGTGGCCACTAAATACACGCCGGTGGACAATGGGTTCACTCCACGGGAAGGGTCGGACGTCTCTGTACCTGAACAAATTACAAAATTTCCTCGTAAGATCTCGAAATCCTCTTTCAGCTCATAATATTATTTATTCAAGCGTTTCACGCGTCAAACACTTTTACCACGTACATGCATATTATATATATATAAAGGCCCCAAGGCCTGTTACATGGGATAACTTTCACGTGCCATCTAAAGTCAGCGTTCTGCTGGCAAGCTGCACGCACCGCTCGCATGAACAAACGTGTGTGTACACATACAGTGTCGAGGCATTTATGACCTTTAACCCTCGCAGGATGACCCTTGAAAGGGAGACTCGGCTCGATTTGCATTCCGGGATTTATTGGCATCGACGATGATAATGTGCGTGTCCGCGTGATCGATGCCGGTTTAACAATTCATGATCCAGTTGTCGGACGTGCCGTCGGTTCTCGTTATTTGAATTTAATTACGGTACAATAAATTATTCTTACTCTCAGACTTTTATGAAACAGATCAGTTTAACGTCTCCGTCTATGACGTACGAGTGACTTGGCATGCGTACATAGAAAATGTGACATGTTTTCTCTCCCTCTGTCTATCTTTAATGCTTTCCATGTGTCGCGGATCCATGTATTCTCTATACGTGCGTACGAAGCGGATACGAAATCCCTCGAGACAACCAGGGAACCATTTATCAGACGATGGGGTAAAGAACAAACTGTAAACGGACGATAACTATCGATAAGGGAATCCTGTGTAATGAAGATCTGCGTCGAAGAGGACGGAAATCGTTTAACTGTCCGAGTTTACATCTGCTCGAGCGGATTTAAAACGAAGCCTGGCGAGTGTAGGTGCGCGTTTCGGTACGACGACAGACCGGTTCGAGGCGAGCGCAAAACCGTGCGGCTGCGGACGTGGCTCGGCGAAGATGGCGTACACTCCGGGTCCCTTTAAAACGAGTTAATCCGTCTGTCTGGCCGTCTGCCGATCGCCTGAGAACCAAGAAGATTCATTTTCCCTTTGTCCATTCTTTTTCACACGTACCAAAAGGAGCCTGCGGCTCAATGGGACAATGCGAGGCAGCGGCGGTGCGCGTGCGCTCGTTCCTTTTCGCACAGGTTCCACACACATTTGAATAATCAACGCGTAGGCCAGCCTCGCTTTTGTCGAGAGAGAGAGAGAGAGAGAGGCAGAGAGCGCGAGTAGAGACGGAACGAAAGAGAAGGTACGCAGTCGCGAGAAAAGTGACACGTACGATACTTGAGTGATTGTTGCGTTTCCACTCGAACTGGACCCCAACAGATGTTCCCTCACTTTTCTCGTTTACTCGGTGCGCGAATGTGCGCGAGGGAATCGTTTGTTCAAAAGGTGAGAAGGCTAGCCATCGCGATTACGTCAGGCTTCCTTTCCTTCTTTTAATTCGCGCGCGGGTTCGTTAACCCTCGGCTCTCGTGAACTCTTCCAGGGAGCCTTGTCCCTTTCGAACACTACGCTCAACCTAGACCTTGTTTGCTTCTCCTCAGAGAAGTTAAGTCACAGTCATTGGTGAATTCCCTTTCCCGATACTTTAAAAATGACTATGAAACAATAATACAAGCAATTTCTCAACAACAAATAATGATGGGTGACTCTTCTTATTCATGTAGCTGTAGTTGTCAGATAAAAAAGTCATAATCGTATGCAATTTCCTTCTAATTCCACTTGTAAACGAATAATAGCAGTACCTACAACTTTCATTTCAAGTATTGCTACAATTTCTGTGCAAAAAGATTTCGCTAGTGCCAATAGTTAACGAGTTATTTGCAAAAAACTGTTTTTCGTTTTTTGCAAATAACTCGTTAACTATTGACATTAGCCACTTCTTTTTGCACAGGAATTGTAGATCTCGCCGTCCCCTACAAAATGGTTCTAAATACGCCCTCCTACGTCCATCCGTTCGGGAATTATTGAGCAAAAAGGAAAAGTATTGTCCAAAGTCCGCTAATTCGACGGGCGAATTTCGTCAATGCTCGCCTTCAGATTCTTCAATTCGCCCGTCGAAATAGCGAACTTTTAAAAAGACTTTTCGTTTTTCCTCAATAACTCCCGAACGGATGGACGTAGGGGGGCGTTTGTGGTCCTATTTTGTAGGGGACGACGAGATCTATAATTCGTATATAATAGTTTTGCGCTAGCATCAATAGTTTCCGAGTAAATTGCAAAAAACTGTTTTTCGTTTTTTGCAAATAACTCGTTAACTATTGACATTAGCCACTTCTTTTTGCACAGGAATTGTAGATCTCGCCGTCCCCTACAAAATGGTTCTAAATACGCCCTCCTACGTCCATCCGTTCGGGAATTATTGAGCAAAAAGGAAAAGTATTGTCCAAAGTCCGCTAATTCGACGGGCGAATTTCGTCAATGCTCGCCTTCAGATTCTTCAATTCGCCCGTCGAAATAGCGAACTTTTAAAAAGACTTTTCGTTTTTCCTCAATAACTCCCGAACGGATGGACGTAGGGGGGCGTTTGTGGTCCTATTTTGTAGGGGACGACGAGATCTATAATTCGTATATAATAGTTTTGCGCTAGCATCAATAGTTTCCGAGTAAATTGCAAAAAACTGTTTTTCGTTTTTTGCAAATAACTCGTTAACTATTGACATTAGCCACTTCTTTTTGCACAGGAATTGTAGATCTCGCCGTCCCCTACAAAATGGTTCTAAATACGCCCTCCTACGTCCATCCGTTCGGGAATTATTGAGCAAAAAGGAAAAGTATTGTCCAAAGTCCGCTAATTCGACGGGCGAATTTCGTCAATGCTCGCCTTCAGATTCTTCAATTCGCCCGTCGAAATAGCGAACTTTTAAAAAGACTTTTCGTTTTTCCTCAATAACTCCCGAACGGATGGACGTAGGGGGGCGTTTGTGGTCCTATTTTGTAGGGGACGACGAGATCTATAATTCGTATATAATAGTTTTGCGCTAGCATCAATAGTTTCCGAGTAAATTGCAAAAAACTGTTTTTCGTTTTTTGCAAATAACTCGTTAACTATTGACATTAGCCACTTCTTTTTGCACAGGAATTGTAGATCTCGCCGTCCCCTACAAAATGGTTCTAAATACGCCCTCCTACGTCCATCCGTTCGGGAATTATTGAGCAAAAAGGAAAAGTATTGTCCAAAGTCCGCTAATTCGACGGGCGAATTTCGTCAATGCTCGCCTTCAGATTCTTCAATTCGCCCGTCGAAATAGCGAACTTTTAAAAAGACTTTTCGTTTTTCCTCAATAACTCCCGAACGGATGGACGTAGGGGGGCGTTTGTGGTCCTATTTTGTAGGGGACGACGAGATCTATAATTCGTATATAATAGTTTTGCGCTAGCATCAATAGTTTCCGAGTAAATTGCAAAAAACTGTTTTTCGTTTTTTGCAAATAACTCGTTAACTATTGACATTAGCCACTTCTTTTTGCACAGGAATTGTAGATCTCGCCGTCCCCTACAAAATGGTTCTAAATACGCCCTCCTACGTCCATCCGTTCGGGAATTATTGAGCAAAAAGGAAAAGTATTGTCCAAAGTCCGCTAATTCGACGGGCGAATTTCGTCAATGCTCGCCTTCAGATTCTTCAATTCGCCCGTCGAAATAGCGAACTTTTAAAAAGACTTTTCGTTTTTCCTCAATAACTCCCGAACGGATGGACGTAGGGGGGCGTTTGTGGTCCTATTTTGTAGGGGACGACGAGATCTATAATTCGTATATAATAGTTTTGCGCTAGCATCAATAGTTTCCGAGTAAATTGCAAAAAACTGTTTTTCGTTTTTTGCAAATAACTCGTTAACTATTGACATTAGCCACTTCTTTTTGCACAGGAATTGTAGATCTCGCCGTCCCCTACAAAATGGTTCTAAATACGCCCTCCTACGTCCATCCGTTCGGGAATTATTGAGCAAAAAGGAAAAGTATTGTCCAAAGTCCGCTAATTCGACGGGCGAATTTCGTCAATGCTCGCCTTCAGATTCTTCAATTCGCCCGTCGAAATAGCGAACTTTTAAAAAGACTTTTCGTTTTTCCTCAATAACTCCCGAACGGATGGACGTAGGGGGGCGTTTGTGGTCCTATTTTGTAGGGGACGACGAGATCTATAATTCGTATATAATAGTTTTGCGCTAGCATCAATAGTTTCCGAGTAAATTGCAAAAAACTGTTTTTCGTTTTTTGCAAATAACTCGTTAACTATTGACATTAGCCACTTCTTTTTGCACAGGAATTGTAGATCTCGCCGTCCCCTACAAAATGGTTCTAAATACGCCCTCCTACGTCCATCCGTTCGGGAATTATTGAGCAAAAAGGAAAAGTATTGTCCAAAGTTCGCTGAATTCGACCGGCGAATTTCGCTAATGCCAATAAAATGCCAATAACTCTTTAAATATTGCAGTTGGAAGCAAAAGGGGGGCCGTTAGGGTGCCTTTCTTGTAGCGGACGACCTGATCTACAAGGAAGGTCGTATGCAATTTTGCCGTATCTCCAAGGGTTTAGGAGTTATTGAGGAAAAACGAAATTGCACCAATTTTGGCGGTGCTGGCATTGACGAAATCCGACCATTTCACCGTAAAATCAGCGAACTTTTGACACGTGGAGAGAGAGAGAGAAGGGCATCTCGTAAAATCATGTAAATCTTTAATGGACAAAGTTCGTTAACCCGACACGCGTGAATTTACGACCTGTTCTCAGGGGGAACAAGAGAACCTTGAGATCCTTTCGACCAATGAGATTTGTGCCGCGGCTGGCCCGGACTTTTACGACTTCCTATCGTTCTACGCAAATCATAATCTGCTGGGAATCCCCTCGAACGGGACACGATTCTTTTTTATTCCTGAATTGTCTCTTGATTTATCTCCTTCTACGGGACTGCCAGTCTACTAGACTGTTTACGTATACCGTCTGCGTTTAAACTATCCATGCATGTACTCGATAAATGCTTCGATCTACTTCACAAAGTTCTTTTTATCATTTCCATCGAGCTTTTTCCATATAAACGACTCACGCACGTGATACAGACAGGCCGACGACCCCGTGTCTCATAACTGAGAACATTAATTACGCGAGCGCGCGTGGCACCTTAGCGAGCGGATCGGCATCATTGTCGGTACAACGAATCGGTCCTCTTTAGAATTCCTCCGGGCACGAATGCCTCGGCGTACTTCTGTCCACGGCTAGACACTTTTAATGCCAGAAACCCTTCCCAGGTAAACAACGTTCAACGTGAACCGATTGATAGTATTGACATCGCAACGAACTTTCTCGAATACAGCGAATTGCATTCGCGCAATGAATGTTGAATCGTAGCTTCGAATCGCATCGGTGCTATAGATATTTCATTTTACTGAATTTGCAGTCTATTTGTAGCACTAGCGATGATGTGTCGATTGAATCTTTATTAGAAATGCAAACGGTTGCGTACCTTCAATATCTTATTCCACCTGCGGAGGCTTCGGCGGTGCTGAAAGACGCGGAGAACGGGCCAAAGTTAAGGGTAGCACTTTGCGCGTTCGCCTGGCTCTGCCCACCGTACCCCGTGGATCCCGCGGAAGCTGTAGCGAAGGATCCTCCCGATTGCACAGGTGCGACGGGTTGCGGATAAACCACCGGCGAGGGGTATCCGCCGTACCTGAACAGTTCGGTTATTCAGCATCTGTCGCGAACAGATTTCAAGCTAATTTGAGAAACGCGTACTGTGGGTATTCGCCGTAGCCTGGTTTGTGATGATGTTTCCGATGATGGTGCTTGAAATGACGTTCCTCCTCGACGAAATCCGAATCGGGATCTGAGAAATCCCCGTCCAGGAAACCGAACTGCGGTGACCTTTGCCCTCTTTCATTATCTATGAATTAAAAACGTTCGAGGCTGGTTTATTCGATCGGTTAAAACATGAACTTGAATCTTCATTCCCACTGAAAATTATTTCGTTCACTCTATCGAAGACTGACCAACGACTGTAGACACTTCCGTTTGCTGCAGAGGATTCAACGGCTGCGGATTCTGTAGCACCTCCAATGGTTTCGCGAGAGTTTGATACGCGAACACGAGGAGTAGGATGAACGCTCGCGTAGTCATTTCGGCGAGTGTGCGGTTCGCGTGAACAGAGCCGAGAGATTATCGTCCGGAATCGGACGGGCACGATTTTTATACGCCGATGATGAGACCCGAGGTTCCGTGATTTCCGGCGATTCGCAGCGCACTCGTCATTGGGGTCTAACGAGTGGACGACCTTAGGATCCAGGGACGAGCGAAAGTGGACCGTAAGAAAGTGGCAGTCGCGGTTGAGGACGCTAATCGGCATAGAGTGGGCGCTGGGAAATCACGTGTCGAAAAGAAGGAAAGGAAGGACGGAAGGTGAGACAAAGAGGAAAGGTCGATGCTTTCTTGGGATCATGTTTTATTCAACATGGGGATTTTTCGTGTTTGATTTCTGTCGCTTAGCTAATTAGAAGAATGATTTGTTCAAGGTTCCGCGGAAAGAGGCTACATTTAAACGATCTGGGGAAGTACAGTGGTCGAAAATAGAAATGAAATAAGGAAGATCAATATACGAATTAAACCATACTTTAATCATTCAGAATTTACACAAAATGAGAATTCATAATGTTACATAAATTTCAGTCTTGTATCTCTCCGTATTAATTAACATTAAGATCAGACTTTGGACAGTCCTAAGAAACTCGTAAATTTTAGAAGAACATTTTACGCTCGATTATCAGACTTGCTGATTGTCAAGAGAATCATTTTAATTCGAATAATTCTTGAAGACGCAACTGAAACTGTTTTACGATCTAAGATAAATGTTCGCACAGAAATACTAATGTGCAGATAAACTATTCTCCTTTCTAGCTGTTTTCGCGCTTATTTGTTTGTTTGAAGCTCCTGTAGAAGACGATTCGATGGGTGAATTAACGTTTTTAGTTGATCGGTCTATTGGAGTTAAGATGGGTAGAATCCTGCACGTTTGATAAGGACGCCTCGTGGTCGTTTGCATTCTCCTGTTGTAAGTGAATAAATTTCTTGGTGAGAAATCGCGGAAACTCAGTAGCTATTAAGGCTTTTTTTAAACAATTCAATGGGAATTAAACGAACGGAAAATCTGCAAAAACATACCTCATCGTTGAAATATTTCGTGATTTGGGAAGGAGGTTAGCAAATTCCATACGTCCCCGTTTTCGTGGATCTATTGAGTTATACATATGTCTTATAATTATTCCACTTCGATAAATTACGCGTAATGAACTTGAAAATATAAAGAAAAGATTCTTACCGATTACTGAGGGTGGTCGGCAGTCGACGATCGCTGCGATAACGGCGAGGATCAAGAGAATAACGATGAACTTCATTCTCGCTAGGAATCTGTCGAACAACTGAGAGTCTCAAGAATCTGTCGAACTACTGAGTGTGTAAGGGCTCGGTAGGTTCCCTTTTAAAGGAGCTTCCTCTCCCTACCCTTATCGGGGCGTTTTCAAGAAACGGGAGGTTTCGAATACCTGAGTTTCTGACCTGGCCGCAACCCTCCTACCCTTGGAAAATCCACAGTCGAAGCAGCAAAAGCAGTAAACCTCGGTCTAAGTTGCGAGAAAAAGAACGCGGCTCTTCCTAGAAATCCTTTAAGAGATCGGGGAAATAAATCAAACTTAAAATATTTTTTAACAAAGGATGATCCTCGATAACTTCTAACGTATGCATTGTATAAAAAATAAAGGCGACGGCTATTTTTACTTGATTAGATACAATTGATTAATGTTTATCCTGTCATTGTCAGAAACGAGAGTCGCGTGTTGTTAGAAGCGGGTTTCACATTCATTTTGCAACATCAATTTTGGAGATCGTACGAGGCGCAAACGATGTCTTCGAAACGCGTGGAATAAAGGAATGACAGCGTTTCCAATAATAGACCTTTACGATCGCCGTTCAATGCCATCGCTTCGCAACGCAAACATTTCGTGTTCGCACGTCCATCCAGATCTTGAAATGTCCAGACAAATTATTAACTGACTATTCAATAATAATTATCAATACGTGAACGAAGAACAATTCTCTGCTACGGCTAATTTTAGGAGAGATTAATGCGGAATGTGTATCGATTAAGAATAACAATTGCAAAGTTTATTCAGTTTTCTTGTTTACGTAAGGAAGAGTTTTATAACACGACTATCTCAAGTAACTCGCATGTCGTTGCAAACTCATAATTAATCCTCGATTGATTTCACTGCTGTTGTAACTTGCACTTTCATTTATGCTCCTCAACGCGTGCAGTATCACTTATTTTTAAAATCAAAATAAAATAACTCAGCAGTATTCTGAAACAACAGCCACGACCTTTGACTCCTCCATTAAAAATATGTATCGAAATCGCGTCAACGGATGACATAATAATCGATAAAGCACCGCGGTGAAAGGATCAATGCCACTCGTGACGTTTCTCACTTACAAAAGTATTCATTTTTATTATCAGTGGTCGTGATTACAAAGTTACATCGCAGATTTTGTTATTCGATTCGAATAAATATGACGCTTGTCGGAGACAGTATCTCGTGCTATCACGATTTAACAAATAGTTAACGGCGCGTCGGGAGAACATAACTTACACGTTTAATGAAGTAAATTCCTGTAAATGCCTATTTAATAACGGGCTTGCAACTGTGGAAAAAAACTAATTGCACGGTAACCTGAACCCGTAGAACAATTTCATGGCGTCACGTAGGGCCAATAAAACTGTACCGGCATAAATTCTAATTACATGGGTAGGTAATTCTGCTAATGACGTTTATGAGAGGGCCTGTCGAAGTAAATTGGGAACCGTTAGCAGGACTGGAGGCTACGTTAAATACAGTTAGAGTATTGTTCATTTGTTCTGTTTAAACGAGGGGAAGGCAGTCTGAAAATTTTCTGACAATGAACAAAATCGTTTACTTCGTTCGCATTTTGCATACAGGCTGAATCAGTAAGAACGGCCATACGAGATTCATTAATCGACGCTTCATACTCGTCGAAGCTTATTAAATTCTTAACAAATAGAACTTACTCGTATTTATCAGAACGTCGTGACAATGTTTATCGATTCATCCTGTACATCATTGGCAAGAGTGGTATCACAAAGTCGTAGTAAAATTGATTCCTCAACATTGAACATCGATGGGAGGAAAAAGCGCAATAAAATGCGTTACGCAACGCATAACAATTGAATCGCAAAATAGTGACGATTCCTCACGCTGACAATGTAATTAAGATCCATCAGCGTTCGTCGATCGTTAAAATATGATACATAGACTGCAGATTTGTATGCAAGCTAAGTAACGAAAAATATTTTAAACATTCTACTGTGCATTTTTATAAATCCGCAGTCCAGTGACGTTTATTTAAGTGAATCGATTCGGTGTGTTACAGATACCACAGTAGTTACGAGAGCTATAAACGTAAAACCTTGAGAGTGATGGCACGGTTCATGGGGTAATCCCATGCGAATTGAATGGTACGATTAATTGAAGACGAGCATTCTCCTGGTGTCTATGTTGGCCGTGGCGGAAGCTTGGCTGGACGCGGAACTTCCTCCGTTTCCAGACGCGTTGCTCGACGCTTGTGCGTTCGCGTTCGCGTTCGCCACTCCGTTTCCAGACGCCAACGCGGAGGATTTAGCTGACGAGGTGGCTGACGCTCCTCCTGTGCCGCTGGAGTTCGCGTTCGAAATGGCATTCGAGTCTGGAGAATGGAGAGGGTAATCATTTAATTAGTATCACGCCTGATCGGACTGCCTCGGCGAAGGACGATGCCGATGCGTTGGCAGACGTGCCTATGAACAGTAATTAAGAGGACATAGCGAGTTTCCCTATTCTTCTAAGAGGTAAATATCGTTGAGAACAATCACTTCACATTACACTTTTAAATTCATAGTAAAATTAAACTCAACGATGTTTTATCCGAATTTGAAAAAAAAATATTGGACATTTAATTTAAAAACCGAAGGATGTCCTTAATGTCTCAAAAAAAAAGCAAGGTAATTAAAAACAGATTAGAGCATTAAACACATTTGTATCTTACGAGTCCTATTAGTCTAATGGTTAATGATCTAGAAACATACTTGCTGATCCCGAAGCTCCACCGAGTCCCCCAGCGATGGCAGACGCATCGGCCTTAGCATTAGCATTGGCTCCGGCACCTCCGAAACCAAATCCAGATCCTCCAAATCCATTGTCACCCCCTTTTACGGGACTAATGGAACCGCCGATTCCACCCGTGCTCCCAGCGTTCGCTACGGCGTCAGCTTTACTGACAGCATTCGCACCGGCATTTCCGGAGGCCCCAGTGTTACCATAAGCAGGACCGGAAGTACCAAACGGTCCAGAGGGACCGAAACCATTTGATCCGGTGGATCCAGCATTGGCTCCTGCATTGGCCTGTGCGTTCGCTGCTGCGTTGGCTCCTGAATTAGCGCCAGATCCACCGTGGCCATCGACATTTCCGAACGAAGATCCGGTGTAAGGTGTATAGATTGGTCTTTCATAAGGAGGATGACTTCCTGATCCAGTGGATTCAATTACTCCGAGTTTGATCCCGCCGCTCCCAGTACTTCCACCACCATAATTCTGTCCAAGGGTTCCATAAACCGGCGAACTCTTCACGGGCGCGACGTATCCACCGGTACTTCCAGAGTTTCCATATCCTGATCCGGTGGTACCAGCGTTAGCGTTAGCGCCGGCGTTGGCTCCGGGGTAACTTCCTGGCCCGGAAGTTCCATAAATTGGAGAACCTTTCGTGGGAGTACCAAACACACCCTGAGAATCAGGTGCAGTTTGGTAATTGGCGTTTGGAGTCGCCGGAATGGTTATAGGAACAGTTTTGATCGGTTTGCCGACAGATCCGGCGTTAGCACCAGCGTTAGCATTGGCTCCTGCACCAGACGATCCACCGATGTACGGTTCGTAGCTTCCTGGTGCGCCAGGGTATGTCGTAGGAATACCCTTGGCACCAGCATTGGCTCCAGCGTTGGCACCAGCATTGGCATTAGCACCTGCTCCGGCAGATCCACCAGAGTTCGGTCCGTAGCTTCCTGGTGCGCCAGGATACGTCGTAGGGATACCCTTGGCTCCAGCATTTGCTCCTGCGTTAGCAGCAGCATTGGCATTAGCACCTGCTCCGGCAGATCCACCAGAGTTCGGTCCGTAGCTTCCTGGCGCGCCAGGGTACGTCGTAGGAATACCCTTGGCTCCAGCATTTGTTCCAGCGTTAGCAGCAGCATTGGCATTAGCACCTGCTCCGGCAGATCCACCAGAGTTCGGTCCGTAGCTTCCTGGCGCGCCAGGGTACGTCGTAGGAATACCCTTGGCTCCAGCATTTGTTCCAGCGTTAGCAGCAGCATTGGCATTAGCACCTGCTCCGGCAGATCCACCAGTATTCGGTCCGTAGCTTCCTGGTGCGCCAGGGTATGTCGTAGGGATACCCTTAGCTCCGGTATTGGCTCCAGCGTTAGCAGCAGCATTGGCATTAGCACCTGCTCCGGCAGATCCACCAGTATTCGGCCCGTAGCTTCCTGGTGCGCCAGGGTATGTCGTAGGGATACCCTTAGCTCCGGCATTGGCTCCAGCGTTAGCAGCAGCATTGGCATTAGCACCTGCTCCGGCAGATCCACCAGTATTCGGCCCGTAGCTTCCTGGTGCGCCAGGATACGTCGTAGGGATACCCTTGGCTCCAGCATTTGCTCCTGCGTTAGCAGCAGCATTGGCATTAGCACCTGCTCCGGCAGATCCACCAGTATTCGGTCCGTAGCTTCCTGGTGCGCCAGGGTACGTCGTAGGAATGCCTTTGCCTCCGGTGTTGAAAGTCGAATCTCCCCCGCCAGTGACGTACTGTCCAAGCTCGTGACCACTAACTCCACCGGTAAGGAACGGGTTCTGTGCTCCGATCTGTCCCTGAGAGCCTGCAGTGGCACCAGCGTTGGCATTAGCGTTGGCCTTGGCGCCGGCGCCAGCGTTAGCGCCTCCTGAACCTGTCAAGAAGGGATTGCTTCCTCCAGTTCCGGTGGGAACGTAGCCACCAGTAGGATAGTATCCTGGTTTCGTTCCCGCATTCGTGTTTCCAACGGCGCCTGCATTCGCATTCGCGTTAGCGTTCGCATTCCCCTGAGCTCCTGTCAGGAACGGATTAGATCCACCGACGTTGGTGGTTGGACCGCTTCCGGGGTAGTATCCCGATCCTCCCGTTGATCCAGCATTGGCAGCAGCGTTCGCGTTGGCCTTGGCATTCGCGTTAGCGTTAGCAGCTGCGTTAGCCTCTGCGTTCGCGTTCGCGTTCGCATTGCCTCCTGCGGCACCCCATGGACTAGTGCCAGTCGGCTGGTAGTATCCGTCTTTTCCAGCTCCGCCTGCTGAAGAGCAAAAATGAAATTTATTTAATAGATTTCAAGTTATACAACAGAATTCCTGACTAAGTGCTGTATGCTGCAATCGTCTGAAGATATTATTTCGTCTCTTGATAGAAAACTGTTAATCGTTTAAAAAGACTCCGACTTGTTAAATGTTAATCTACGAAAGAAACCATCGTTCTCTTCGTATAAATTAAATCGAGATTAGTGTACGGGTTCGGGCATTCTTCTGGGAAGTTATCGTCGTTTCGGCATGCTAAATGAACATTGCGTGGTAATCACAGCCTCTCCTGTTGGACGTGCGTTTCTTAGTTACATACAAACAACCAAATCGGGTGCGATTATCAAGTGTACAACATCCGACTTCCGGCGTGGACGTGCCGGCTCACCTTGGCCTTGCTGCGGGGAGGTTGGTTCTTCGACAACGATCACCTGTACCGGGTTCTGGACGCGACCCGGTTGCGGGTACTGAGGTGGACCGTCCACGATCACGATCGGTATCACCATGTCTTCGTTCGGCGAAACTTGCGGCACGGGTTGAAAAGGCACTTGAGGAGGATAATGACGATGATGATGATGATGATGATGATAACGAGACGGAGGTGAAGGCGGCGGCACCGGAACGACATGGATCTCTTCATCGTATCCATCAACCATCGGAGATTCGGCTATTGTCAGAGTAGGTGTCTGAGGAACAATTACTCCTGCGTTTACACCTGCATTGCCCGGGGAATAGTAGCCGCGATCCGATTTTGGAGCGTAATAACCATCGGTCCCCGAGCCAGCGACAGAATTTGCTTTCGCGTTCGCAGCAGCACCTGCGTCGATCTGAAGGCTTCCGGAAGGATAGTAGTTGCCAGAATCCCCTGTTCCTTCATATCCGATCGAGCCAGGACTAATTTGAAGCGTAGCGGTTCCGGGAGCATGGTAACTGTCTATACCATTGTTCGTGGCAGCGTTCGAAATCGCGTTCGCATTAGCGTTCGTAGTGGATTGAGAACCGCCGGAATTACCGTACTGGAGACCGTCCGATGGAACGTACTGGCCGATGTTAGAATTATAATTATCGGAACCGGCGTAACCTATGTTTAAAATAATTGCATCGGTTTTTATGCGCTCGCCAAGTCTACTACTCGGACGGCTGATTAGCCGTTCAATAAGATATAATAAGGAAGATGTTGCTCTTATGCGCTGCCGTTTGGGACACGCGAAGAACGATCTCTTATGTAATAACAACTAAATTGTGGATCTTATGAATTGCGTGAAACCTACAGTTTAATATCTTCTACTAATCCTGATGCTAAATACCTTGAGCGTTGGCGGATGCTGAGGCATCGGCTCTGCCCCCGCCGTGGGCTTGGGAGTTCGCGTTGGCGTTCGCGACCGAACCTGCTCCATTACCCGAGGCCGTCGCCGAGGATGAAGATAAGCTGCTCGAGAAGGAAAGTGGTCCTAGTTGGAAGTTCGATCCGTACGTGTTCGATTTACTGGATGCTTGAGCCCCTTTGTCTTTGAACAAACCCAACGGATCCAGTAGGCTGACGCCGCGCTTCGCCGCGAGGTCTGCCAGCAAGCCTGCAGAATTAATCAAAAGTTCAGTTTTACGTAGCAAGGAAAGGAACTTCGAATGAATGACAGCGTTTAGAAAATATTCGGGTCCATTCATTTTATGAAATCCGCGAAATCCACGGATCCGGACCATTTGTACAACTCACCAGGTCTCGCGGACGAGGTTCCGACGTAAAGAAGTACCAACACTGGCACAAAACACTGGTAAAGTCGCATGTTTCACTCTCTGCGTTTCGCGGTTCGAGAAAAATGATCTCCACACGTATCCACTGACTCCTTCTGCTGGATGATCGCGGTGGTCGAAGAGTCAAGTGCGACTGGAGCTGCTGAACGGGACAACAACTTATATACGAGGCAACGCCGGGATTCGCGTCGGCCAACTATTGACCATCGCTCACCTGACCAGCGTCCATCTCTTTTTAATTCGATCTCATCGAATCAAACGCACGCTCCTCGCACAGTTTAATCTTGACGAAATTTATGTTATCTCTTCGAGAAACTGTCCTCCTCTTCCTGGAACTGATACTGCAAAACGCCTTCGATCGCGACAAATGACAAAACTTTCGCCAGCCAACGCCGAGCGGCTGACACTGTCAAGGTCTAATCACTTCGTCGAATCGTTTCACATTTTTCCAAGCCGGGGTATATCCCATTTAGCTATCGTCTACATATCGTAGTTGTACTTTGGGAAATTCTGATTTATGGTTCCACGCATAATTGCCTGGGCAAAAGAAAGCGGCGATGGAATCCCCGATTGATTAGCATCTAGGCGATTAGTTAGGTGACTCCGTCTGTATCTTAACGACAGTGTGTAGAATTTCACTGTATTCGGTGGAGAACTATTTCGGACGAACATGGATAATTTATTACACCGTTCCTTGAAAATTTTGGAAGACGAAAACAGCAAAGAGATATAAATCAGTCGTAAAACGTTTAGAGTGATTCAAAATAATTACAGATTCTAAAAATGACACGGAAAAGACTTAGAAGCATAAAATTCGGGACGATAAAAACTCTTAATGATGTTTGTCAATATTTGACATTTGTAGTTGACGCGTTGACGGCGGCTGAGAGGACTCGGCATTGTGTCATCGTTACGCAACGAGATAAAAAGATTTGACTGAAAGGTGGACATCGAAACAATGTCCAATAATAATTTCCACCTCCTCGGCGGATTAACAGGCGGCAATTAATAACTGTGAGTAACGCACGACGCGTAGGAGAAGGTCGCGGAACCGTGGAAAAGCTGTGAAGAAGGAACGCCGGCAAACATCCGGCTAGCGCGGAACCTTGTACAAACACTCGTTAACGAAGTTCATTTTTCGGAATTAAATGAGAAAAGTGTATTGTTACTTCTGGGAATTCGTCGTTAAATGATTGATACGCGCCACTCTCACGATCCCTCATCGCGACTTATCGGTATTAGATAATTAGATTTTTATGACCGGTGAACGATGTGCGTGTAAACGGCGACTGACGTAATGGCATTAACGTACAGCAAAACACTAATAGCGGTATTCCTCTGTAAGATAGTTTGAACACGTTTTAAGCAGATTTATGGGATTTTTTTTTTAAACATGCCTGAATCTCGAAGAGTTCGATTTGAAAATGTCCGGCGATAATTGAAACGGACATCGGTACGTCGAATGACAGTGGGAATTCCGATGATACAGACACGGTGATCACGTTCGCTGGATGAACGCAAAGGCGTTCGCCAGTTCGCAAGCAGACTTCTGCAATCTTGACCCGATGAGGTCTCGTTACTAGGTCAAGGAACTTTTCTCGGTAATCAGTGGCCTGCAGATTCTAATGGTAGCAGCTTAACACTGTTTATCATTTAGATGCATACAGTTTTTTCTATTTCGCATATTTTTGTATTTACATTGTCTGCGCATTAATTCGTGATGCTCAATTTTGTCTTCGACCGGATTCTAAAATATGGCGTCTTGCTCGGAAACCAGAAACGGTATTGACGTAAGCACTGATTCTGAGGACAAGGATACATGACCACGGGATATCTTACATCGAAATCCTTTCGCAAAAAAGAATGTCCGACGCTTGCAAAACTTAGCTTTCGTAAAGGCCTCATTGTTCTCTTCTAAAAGTATTTATCATCGTCGAGTTTCTAATATGTGTTCTCACTGTTTGATCGTAATTTCATGGGACCAAGCCAATTTCCATTATGAATCCGTACTCCGAAGATCAGATCCAATATTTAGCAGACTCCATAAGACTAATAGACGTTCAATAAAGAATCGATCATTGTTATATAATATTAGTAGACTACAAATTTCATTAAAAGAGTTTGTCGTGTATTCGGTATAATATATATATATTATTACCGAAGTTCAACAAAATTATAATACTTCATTTTGATTCTAGTCAATCTATTCAGACGTTCGAAATTTCGATAAAAAAAAAAAGACGAACACGCACGTGACCGTGATCGTCTCCTTCGCAATAGCAAACGGGTCTTCGCGATTATGCAAATGAAGGTAGGAACCGGTTGATTTGAGGGGCGAGAAATAAGCCTGCCGGACGAACAGTCCGTCCACTCGATAATAATTTCACGCGTTTCGACGATCACGATAATTCGATGCGATAAATGCAATTATTACGGGACATGAAAACTGGTAATTCTCGTCGGAGGAGGAAGACGAAGTTTTATGATCGATTACCTTAGCGTGAGATTAATTATTTTGTTTTTAATAACAATCATTCTCGGCTATCGCGTCGTTATCTGCAATTAATTCTATTAGCGGGAAAACGCTGACAATGAGCTACGGCGGCGTTCCTCTCAGTGATTTATTTCGACGGAAGAACAATTGCGGTTTCGGTGATTTAAAGAAAATTTCTTACTAAGATACACTCATTACGGAGTAAACGCGTAAATCATTCGCAAAAAATAATCGTGTCTCGTCTCCGGCTACGTCAGTCCTATTATTGTGACGTATGGACACCGGAAGCGTCGCGATTTAATAGACGGCCCGCTGGACATCCTCCCAATCATACACCTTGAACCGATGTTTAGAATTCCGGAATTCTCGCGAGGGGACTTCCAATTAGATTCGAACTGGAAATCCCGTTCTCTGAATCACGATAAGCGTCTATAGAAAAATCATTTCGATTTCGCGTTTTGCATTTTTATCTCCCATCTCCTGTAGAGATTTTATTATCGCTGCGTTGTATCCAACAGTCGATCACGCTTCGGGGAAGACAGATTTAAATAAACAAGATTTGCTCACGTAGTTGTAAAATGTGTGAAAAATCAGGAGTTCACGTATCGTTAGAAATTCATCGCTAAACTTCCATACGTTTGATACGTATGTAAGATTATTATGTGAGTACGATCTGGTTGTGTAAGAGAGAGCAGATTCAAGTGCTCTGGGTCGGGTCAAACGCCTCGAGTGATACGGAACTCGTCGATACGTTCTTACGAAACGAGACCGCGAAACCTTTCATTCACTCGATTCGCCTTGATGACTCATCGCCAGTCGCGAGAGCGTGTCGCGTGGAACGCGAGTCGAAATTCGATGGCTGCCGAGAAAAACCCAATGCCACGCTTACGTGACGATCACGCACCGTTCCGTTTGCTCGCGCAGCGACACACCGGATTTGCATATTCTGGTTCAGTTTTTTATGGCAAAGAAGGATAACGGAAACGCGTTATAATTCATTGATCATTGGTGTTGATGAAGGCAATTAGTAGGCATCCGTGTTACGAGATCTGTGTCAATGTCGATTATGTGGAATATTCATTTCAGAGATAAGTCTATAGATGGAATTGAATCGAGTGATATTTTATATGCGAGGACTCAGTTGGAAACGAAAGAAGATGATTTTACTATCCGGAGATTAAAACTCCTTCGGATCTGGAACCCGTATGCTCTTCGTGAATTCGCTGGCTATAGCTTCAGGCGTAACGAAACATCAGTGGTTAAGTATATATTTATTACATTCACAGTTGCAATATCTAAAGGCTAGAAAAATTGATTTACGTTTCATCGAAAACTCCTCTCAAGTAGTATATCCATTTTATGTGGGAAAATACAGGATCGGTGCAGTAGATTATTAGTTTGCCAGTAACGGGATACTTTTCGTCCATGGATTCTTCACCGTCCATTTCGTCCTCTCGAATATCGATTTCGACATCGATGCTCTGAATAAAAATAAATTTACAAATTAAAACCAGAAATTATTTTGCATAAAAATCCCTCGTTTCGTGAAACGGGTTCGTCTCGTACTTGTTTAGATTCTAACGTTGGCGTCGGAGTGGTCACCGTGAAATATGCCGGAACGTCCACGACGAAGTCAAAAGTTTTTCCTTCTCTGAATACGTTCTTAAATTGTATCACCGTGGAAGAAGTTCGAGTAACCACGTATGGACCCATGGGTCTCGGTAGACTGCAGGAGCCTATCAGTGGGAATCTTGAACGTACGAATAACAAAACGTTGATTCATCGAATCGTGATACGATGATAAATCGTTTTGACGAATTCTCACATGAACTGTCCAGCAACCTTCGACGTTGCTACCAACGTTGCAGTAACATTTTCTACGTCACACGGTTCGTAGACTACTTCGATTATCCCGTCGCTCAACCCTTTCACTTGAACGCTCTTTGGACACATGAAAGAGTCGCTGTCCAACTGTAAAATAAAAATCGAATTGTGTTTCATTGCGTAACTGCGACCAGACATTCTTTGCTATTGCGAGCTACGTACCTCGATCATGAATTTCGTGTTACTATCAATGAGGTTTTTGATTGAAAGACTGAAAGCGTGTGAACTCCCTAACGTCGTACTGACACGAGTCACCTTCTCTGGAGGGGCGGGGGTGGCTTTCAATCGTAATTCGTATGGGAAGACTCCTAATATCTCGTTAAAGACGTTCAACATTACAGATTCTTCGGCTGGTAGCGGTGAATTGTAGTCTATAGCGACAAATAGCTGAAAAAAGATACAAAGCAGAATGATATCTGTAATTAAAATCAGTAGACGTTGTGAACGAATTCATTGTTTTACATAAATGTATAGAATGAACACTCGCTTGTGACAATGGTGGGATGGGTTTTGTTTGTTTGCGGTCAATCGTGATGAATGGGTAATCGCAATCTAGCGTGTAGACGACTGGTTGCTCTTCTAGCGGGTTCTCCAGTTTCAGGGAATAACAGATTTGAGATCGAGCTGGAGTCGTCAATTTGATCGATTCGATCACTTCAGGTTCGGTCACTTCGTACTCTATCTCGTAGAATTGATATTCCTTCTCTTCGTTCGAGAACGTCACCTATACCATGTAGTTTCCTATGAATACATAAGATCGCAAATCTGTTAATTAACTTACCCTGAAACAGACGTTCCACTCTTTGTAGCAGTGGAACACTGCGCGATAGTCTCGCTGGCTGTTCGCTGGTACGTCGATTCTTTCGTTGCCCACGAAACTGTGCAGGGGAATCTATCCCAAAAAAGTTGGATGAGCAAATACTTATTAGACTATACAGCGTGCACCACGAATCGCGATAAAATCATTTTCGATCGGACTACTAATGACAGAGTAATCTCTATCGATCACGATTCGTGGTTCACCCTGTAGATTCATCTATCCGATGATAATAATTCAATGGAACCTCTTCGTCATCGTCTTCTTTCAATAACTGTATCTCGCAATGGAATCGTTGCTGAGTGTCCAACCAATTACGAACTGGCAGCAGCTCCGTGTACTTCGTTTTCGCTGGGATTTGGCGAACAATTTTAGCTACGACCTGCGGAGGCAGGCTTCTACCACTTAGTAAATACAGTAAATACAGATTGTCGTCCAAAGATTTTAATACCAAGAATCCCTGGAAAAAATCAGAATTCCAAATCTGAAGTCTCTCGCCAGTGTATTATAATCATTTCACCTGTGGTTATTATATTTGTTTACCGTGTGCAGAGAGTTTTCTGTGTTCATAACGAGGGGCGAATAAGTAACGTTGCAAGGAGCGTATTGCTGCGGGGGTATCTGTAGAATCTCGTCGACGGAGAAGTAATCGCCGGTTACTTGGGGTTTCAGCTTCCATGGTAGATTAGAATCGTTCATTACTACCACCGATCGCGTATGTTTCTCTCGGACCAGACACTCAAACCGGATGGTTTCGATCGGCTGAGGCAGCTTACTGCACGCCCCAGTAATCTTCACTTTCAACGTTTCGTATTTCTCAATTTCTATCGTCGCCTACCAAAAATTGTCAATTCATTCATTTTAATAAAAATCTTTTTTTATCAATCTTGAACAGAATTTGAAAAAATGTGGCTCTTTTCCAGTTCAAGAATCTTCAATGAATCTCGCCCACCCCTGGTCTACACGTTTTATCGACTGCGTCGTGTTGTTACGAAAATAATTGGAAGTTTCAATTACTTTGGAGAGTTCAGAACAATTTTTAATCCGAACTGCAGTGGAGAGAGCGCGCGCGAGCCAGGTCTCATTAAGAGATTATTTGACATATTTCGCGGCCGGGAAACGGGATCACGAACTCACCTCACCCTCAATTAAGCCCCGCTGTTCTACTGGCTGGAATTTCACTACGAAACCGACGTCCATTCCAGCGGAGCAGTAGCCAGACATGGGAGTTATTTGAAAATCACCCGGCAATTTCGACGTGTTCCATTTAAATCTGAACAAATTCATGCGGAAACATCGGAACCCATCGTGCATAGAATACCACTATCTTAAATTAGATTGATTCGTTCGACCGGTGGAATACATTTTACGAACCTCGAGCCCAGGTCACCGGTGTTCATCAGAATCACTTTAGTCTCCTCCGAGCAACCCTGAACGATCGTACCGAAGGGTATGTGAGCCCTGTTCAATCTGAACTCGGCCCCGACGCAGCTTCCTCGTAACAGGAACAACGGTAGGATCGTGGACGCCGTTTGGGCAGCCACTTTCGCCGTGAAAGGTTTCATTCTCGACGTAGGCTTGAACGTGACCAACACGTTCATTTTCCTGTTCGGTTTCAAAGTGATACTGGTCGACGGTTTGATCTTCAGAACTTCGGAGAGCGTCGGCTCGCTGGTGTAGAGCTTGCAGTCGACGGTCCACGAACGTTTGGTCTCCATGATGGAGGCTTTCTCCATTTCGACGATCACTTCCGGCTTCGTTTCGCAGGAAATGACACGTTCCCGATATTCATCGTAGACGTTGAGGTCCTTCATTAGATCGAACTTGAGCTCGACTGGCGCCAGGCCTTCGTTCACCACTGGGATCTTCTTCGTCACGCTCTTCGAGGGGGGCACGCTGCCCAGATCGATCGACTTCTCATGAGGATTCACCAGACGGATCTGAAGACGATTCAAAATGCACACAGCAACAGTGGAGAGAATCTAACTCTCATTTTATGGATCTCCTCTTTGGTGGCGGATCCAACATTGACTCGCGCCACTTGAACGTGTTTTAATGAGATCAGCAGTGGGATTCGACGGAGAGATCTGAAGACAATTCGAAGTGCAACACGCTCAGAACTTGTCGCGTTTGTAATACAATCTAATTCAAGTTTGACGAGTTTTCAGTGGGGAGCAAATATTGAGTTGTACTACTTAAACACGTTTAGCCTCTAATAAAATTAGTAGACGCACGCGATGTTGTAACTTCTGTTTCAACGACCATTCATAAATCAATTAACAAATCTTTATGTAAAATAACGTGTGGAAAAATATGTATTTGTTTAAATATTCGACTATGATAAGCGCAGTTTCGTACAGAACAGGGCTAATCTTTATAAATGCAATTCTACAATGAAGAAGAGAGTGAAATCGATTAAATACAGGGTAGATGCACCATTTGTACCTCGGGTGTACTTTAGAACAAATCTTGGGAACAAGCTGGCGCGAGCAGCCTCGCTTGTCAAAAGTTTTAACAAGCATGACTTACCCTGTAGCCGATACCCTCGCCGGTAATCATTATTTTCTTCTCGTTCGTGGAATTGATCGTGAATACCAGACAGTCGCGATACTTGGTTTCTTTCAATGGTCGGAAAACTATAGGTATCGAGATCGTCGAATGGGGAGCCAAAGCTTCGGAAATGCAGTTGAGGTCGACGGACAAGTGCGGCTGCTCTTCAAAAGCGCATTCGATCCTGCAGTTAATGATCGAAATAATCAAAGGTATTTAGACCGGGAATTAATTTCTCTACTAACACGAACGGGACGTTCTCGGTGTTCGTTAAACACAGATCCGTGTAATAGGAGACAGCGTTGTTCTGTTGAACGTAACAAGGTCCGAAGTCGTAGCGATTAAAGCTGAAGTCGACGCCGGGCCTCTTGGAACAAGCTTTTAATATGAATTTGTAAGCGGGACCATTGGAAATCTGGAATGGTTTACGAGGGAAACGGTATTCATTGAATTTAAATATTCGATGCGACCGAACTACCTGCAGGAGGACGCAGTGATCTTTTATAGCGACTTTCTGACGTGCCGTCAGTGTCAAAGAACAAACGGCACGGTCTCCGATAGCCAAGTGGCTCTGTCTGTGAGGCATCGTCAAAGAGTACAGATTTTTGCATTCCATTTCCGGTGTCATACCCAGGTCCCACGTATAATAGAACGACACTTTGCCCGTGTTCGTCAGCTCGAACTTGATCGCGACAGGCATTTCCAGAGTTATCTTCGGAATAAAAGTAATTTAAACGATTGGCTTTTATCCGGTTTGTAAAATTTCGGAAAGTCCGTTCACCCTGCCCAGGTCGATGACGTTTTCTTTATCCTCGGAAGCTTGCACGACTTCGCCGTTCGGCTTGCAATACGAGACCGAGGACACGATGTCGTAAACGGAGGCGGTCACAAAGATCGTCAACGGGCTTTTCATCAGGTTCACGGCGCACTGAATGGAAAAGTGGAATTCGCCGACCCGGGTTGGATGGTACTCGACCCTACGGACGAATTAAAACGTGCCATTCTCCGCGCAGCGGAATCGCGAACACGGGAATTAGGGACAAAACCGTCTCCCACTTAATTATTATTAAACAGGGAGTTACCAGAGGTACAGCTCGCTCTTCGGAACGAGAGTTCCGCTCATCGGGGTGACGCTCAGCTTTTGGTATTTACCCTCGGAGTACAACGACTCCTCGACTATTTTAAAATCTAAGTGACAGTCCTCGTTGTTCAACAGTTTTATCGAGTCCTTCACGTTAAATCCTGGAACGATGATAGGAATGGGAGAGGAGGAATAAAATTGAAGAAATACGCTGATCAAATTTTGTTCGTTCATTTAAGTTGACTGCATATTTTTGAACGAAATTTCTATCTACCCTGCGTCTCTTAAATTTGCATAGAAGTCTGTTGATAAGAATCGGTTGAGTTTGAACAGAGTATGAAAAAAGTGAACCACGTTCGCGGTTGACAGGAAGAATATTTCAAGTCCTGACCCAAGATTGTTGGCTTCAGTTTCACGTGAACCGTGAGGCAGTGCACCGAGGGCTCGGTCACGACGCCGGCGACCAAGAAAAGGCACTCGAGATTGTATCTCTCGATGGAGAAGAGCCAGAAGGATTCGAAGACGCCCACGTCTTCTGCCAAAAACGTGAACGCCAAGTCGGTACGTTTCCCGCGTTCAGCAAAGCCCTCCGATACCGTGCAGTGAAAATTCGATATCTCGTCGGTCTTACGGGGCGTTCGGTCCCTCCACGAGAAGCGATAATCATCCACCGTTGGATTGATAAGATGGAATCTTCTGAAGTTAGAGAGAATTAAAGAAATCAGTTAGCAATTTTGATGGAACGAGGGCGGAAGGAGTGAAGAATGAAACAATTTGTCGAATAATTGACGAAAATTTATTAAACTGCGTTGGATCGATGGAGGCGTCGAGTTTCCGAAACCGCAGAGACGTGCGCGGATTTCCACCGACTGTTCCGCCGGTTCTAATTAATTTCCCGCGTATCCACGACGAATGCAAACGAGACCGACGTAATTTGTTATGCACTTGATTGAAACAAGACGGCGGTACGTTCAATGCTTACTTCACGTGAGTCCTGCCAACGCCGACCACTTTAAATTCGATTACCCTGATGTTCTGCCACAATGTGGGATCGTCTATCTCGTAACCCACGGGACCGGGTCGCGTCGGATCCCGTCTCCCGCTTGTTACGTAGTCGCTCTCCTGCACGTCGAAGTGACAATAGGGCAACAAACTTCTAGCCATGATGGGAATCGTCAGAGTTGCTCGTTTCGGGTCGAGATTATCCATCCTGCGTAAAACGAAGATAAGATCGTTTAAAAAAAATGATCATTTAAACAGATCGTCAGAAGACTCTTATTATTAGTAGGTAAGGATTGCGACGACTCTAAGACCCTGACGTTCTTACATAAAGTATTATTAATTTATTCTCTTGCACAATCGTACTTGCACGTGAGGTATGCCTTGTAATAGAACACATCCTTCGGTGAGAACGTCAATGTAGATTCCACGGACTGTCCGGGCGGTATAATTCCTATCTCGGGGCTAATCGAGAATGGCAGATCGTCGCCTTCCAGCCAGCTGTCGGTGGTTCTTTCCGACATGCCGGCGGTGCTGCTGAAAAGATCCGACATCTTCGTGCTCGAGGCTGTTTTCATATCCACACTATCTAGAATCATCAACGTTGCTCCGTGAAGCAGTTTCTCCACGAATAATCTCACAAATTGCTTTTACAATTATAATTCACAAAAATAAAAAAAAAAATAATTTTTTGTAAGTCTCTGTTAAGTGCCGTTTTTATCTCGTGAACCCGAAATCCAACAGTACCGATTAGTATAAACGAACATTGTCTAATACATTACCGGAAGCGAACGACGTGCATTGTCTCGACATGACGTTCGTACTGTCACCCACGCTTTTCTCATTCTCCTTGGCATTTTTATAACGCGGCTCGGATTTTGCGGAGAAAATTCCTCTGGACGACCTCGACTGCTGCACGGACGAGTAATCGTCCGCGGTTCTCGGCCTGGAATTCGCGCTCGAACCGTCGCCGATATGCCTCTTCGGATACTGTTCGTCCATGTTCACCTTCCATGCGTAGACGGTGTTCACGATTCCCGGGTTCGACAGGGTGAACTTGTACTCTCTGACCTGAACGAAATTGTAATGTAACGCTTCTCTCGTTCATTCAAGAATAACTTAATTAGTCAATTCGTGAAAGGCGGACTTGGAACATAAGGGTGTCTTTGAAATAAATCTCCTGGACGGAACACAAGTATTCCGAATACGCGACAGTGGCGGATAACAGCAGTTGAATGCTCTTTCCCGTTCCGGGAATAACTTCGTGCTTGGCTTCGATAGTCGGTGCTATGAGCTTCTTCTTCATCAGCTCCACGTCGCTTATTTCGTGCATTAAATCGGGATGTATCTTCTCCCACTTTACTTCCGTTTGCCTGTCGTCCCAAGCCATGTCAGTCGTTGGATCTTCTACAGTGATCTCACATATCAGGCATTCGATTCGAGTCTGCGATACGAGAAAGGATCTTTAGAAAATGATATAATCGGCCTTCGATGAAATTCAGGATAGTTCTGGACGTGATCAATCTTCAGTTTAATGTATATTTAAGTAGCTGGTACAATAGCTGATATTTCGCTCACGATTCGTAGACAACAGGTTTCGTTTTGTGAACATACGTTCTCGTGATTGGTAGGTTCTCCTGCCAGAAAGGTGACCACGTTCTCCTTGGACGTGAGGTACTTGATGTGTCCAATGGATGGCTCGAATACAACGTGGGGGTGCGCGCTCCATTGAAAACGGAACCACCGGTCTGTCGATTTATTGATAACACTGAACGTCTTTTTGTACATCTTCCCAATGAAACAGAGCTCGTAATCGAGGACGTAGGTCAGAGACAACGGATACATCGAACTGCTCGTAGCTGTCAAAGTGCGTTTAAATCAAATTGTAGAATCATAAAATTCTCCACGTGATGAAAAACGCCTGATTTACCCGAAGCCAAAGAAGTTTGCTTGGACATAGCTTTTCGCGATTTACGCGTTTCTTGTCTCGCCGACAGTTTCCGTTTGCTGTCATCGAGCTGTAAACCTTTGAGAACGATCAGTTCCACGTAGCACTCTCCTTCAAGATTGATCATCAAGTTCTCGTATGGATTGTCTACTATTTGTAGTCGAATCTTTCCGTAATCTTTTCCGACTTGTGTCGGTGAGAAAGTTACTTTGAAGCGACCCACGTTCCCAGGTGCCAAGCGAACCACGGTGCATCGGTCGTGCGGTTCTACAAGTAACACTTTATAACTGATTTGCGTAATTATGAAAAATGACAATGCCCTGCAAAAATCGTTAAGATACCGTCGCAGTATTCGTCCCAAACTTGTAACAGAGGCTGCGTGTCCAAGCATGCGCTGAAAGCGAACACGTTGCTCAGGTCCTCCTCGATTTCCACGATGACCTTTGCTTTGATGCAACCGACGTTTTCCATGACGAAGCATCGGAAGCTGCTCTCGTCGATCAGGGTTCGGGGAAAGTTCAAAGTTGGCCATTCTCGTACTCCGTGGACCGGTTCCGTGATCGTCACTTGCGGCACGCAAGATTCTCCTACTAGTTTGATGAATAGGTGGTCCCGTCCGAGATGCGAGGGCAGAATCACGGATACTTCGAACGCCCCATGAAACGTCTAGAAAAATGTTCAAAGAACATGTCGAATAATTTTATCGAATAAACGTGACTCGTATCGTATTTTAATAATCGTCACAGAAGATGTCTTAGACGATTTCACATAATTATTTGAAATTAAAAATGCGTATTTATAATCACTTCGATGATATGTGGAGTAAAAGACACGGTGAACACTTTATGGCTCATGGGAGGTATCTGTTCTCTCAGTGGGTCTATGACAAAAGTGTTGGTCTTCGCTGTGCTCGGCATTAGAGCTTCGTGTATGAACCGTATATCTACCGACGCAGCGACCACGCCATGGTTGTACAATCTGAAGCACGTTACGTGAGTACTAGGCACGCTGATGAACCGGAAATAGAGACACTTCTCTTGCCGGGCAAACACCGTGTGTGGTCCAATCTGGAAACGCGTTTATGATTATTTTCAAATAAATGTATGAAAGAGTTCTGAGATAAGAGCGTTGATGATAAGAACATCTTTGGGGCAATCGAAGTCTTGCATCTGGTCGACCACGTGATTCTCTTGGAAAATCAAGTCCAGGTCATGGAAATCGATCGTGGGAACCGACGAATTCACTGACAACGTTATTGTTTTCCCCTCCCTATCTTCCGGCACGCTGTCCTCGACCACAATGATGATCTGCTCTTCTTGCGAGCCCACGAATTCCGGGTAACAGGTGATGTCGATGCTATCAGTTTGACCAACGGCCACCTCGCCCTCCGTCTTTGATATCGTCATTGGTCCCAGCGTCAACTTCTGCGGATCCACTTCAATCCTACGTTTTAAATAAAAGAAAAGCGTAGCTTCATGTTTTGTACTATTTTTGCTTGCTCATCGATAAACGCAAACTCGAATCTTTCGAGAAAGAGTATCATTTCATCTAGATGTATCGTAAGAAATTTACTTGGTTTCGATTTTCTCGCTCCTGGCGGATTTCTTCTTCCCTTTCTTCGACTTCTTCTCCGCGTGTTTCTCCAATTCATTCTTTTTTACGGTATCCTCATCCAACGGTCTATTGCTCATATAGAGCACGGATGGATGTTTGTACAGAAGCTGAATGGTATATTGCAACGGGAATTTGCCAGTGTTCTCAATGTTCAGATACATAGTCTTCTCGCTGCACACGGCCAGCGTTCCGAAGTTCACTACGGGAAACGGGTACACGCGGAATCTATTCCCATTACGAGAAAAAGGTATTACAATTTATTGACGCGGTTTTAAGAATAAACGTATACCTAGTGTAATACGCAACGAAGGAAATGTTAAGTGGTATCTCTGCAATCACGATTGTCTCTTTAAGGGTGTCGACTAAATTGCATTTCAAAATCGGAGCCCCTTTCAACGTCATCTCCATCTTCGGTTTCAGTATCACCTGTCTTAGCAAAATTCTAATTAACAGTTTGACAAAACTCAGAGACTTGATTTTTTATATGATAAATTAAATGATTTATGTGCAACAATGATACGCGCGAACGATGCTGCGATACATGAATATGATACAAGTGAATATTAAATATAATTCCTGGAATACAGACATCTACAATCTGTTCCCTCCTCGGTGGAAGGGTCCCAGAGGCTGGATGGACTTCAAGTTTCTTCTTGAAATGCGCTGGCAGATTCAACGTGGCCAATTTCTTATTATCCTGCATCGTGATTCTGCAAAAACCAGTCTTTCCGATTTTACTTGCGACGAGACAGAGCAGAGAAAAATGGGACGATTCTCTTACACATATTTCACCTCGTAGCTGCCGCGATTTCTCATTGTGAACGTCGCCCTCGTCGGGAAGTCCACTTTTATATATTTCAAATCGATGGGATTCGCGTTATTAATGTCCACCGCGACGTCGTACGTCTCCCCGGATAGTACCACGACATCCGTGAAGACAGGGTCTCGGTCGTCCTCGTCCAGAAACGCTTTGAACCTCGCCTCCGTTCGTTTAGTCGTGCCGACCTAACATTAAACCCCGCGTGTTAATTCTAACAGATTTTTATATGATGTATGTATGTACACGTCTTTTATCCTTGTAGAATTTCTCTATGAACACGTCGAGTCGACAATGACGATGAATTGAATTTGTAAAAAGAAACAAAGCTTACGGTGAGAGCGTGATAACTGATGTCGACGTTTTGCTCGCTGCGGAGTTCGATCAGTCCGGAGGCTGGAGCGAACATTATCTGTCGGTCGGCCTCTCCCTCGGGATCGAAGCTCCAATAAAATGACACGGGGGTTTTGTTTCGAATCGTCAGCGTTCGATATTCCATTCTATAGAGAAGAACGCGGTCGAAGGAGAACTCTTTCGGTTCCAGCTCGATGTCCAACTTGCTGCCCTCGCATTGCAGCTGAATTTTCGCGATATCAATTAAAACAAAAAGGTTTACAATAAAAATCATCCAGGTGAAAATTTTACTGAGAAAATAGGTGAAGCGATTCTTTTAGATATTTACTTCGATCACGTCGACCTTCGGATTATTTCTCACGCACAAATACAATTTCCCAGTGATAATTCCAAGCCTGTTCGCAACGGCCGATAGGATCAGCGTCGCGCAGTTACCCGGCTACGTGAATTTCGAATCTCGTTAGGGGCTGTCCCGAGCGGTAGCTACTACTACTACTACTACTATTAGGAATAATTAAACGGGAACTGGGTTGTTAGCTGATAACGCACAGCGATAAAGAGCTCCTGGGGCTCGATGGAAAAGCACTCGGTGCTGTTTTCCCCGAGCCAGAAGCGAACCTCCGCATCCACCTTGGAGACGTTGCAAAACTTTAGCCTGGCCTCCCGATAGTGCGCCCTGCGAACAGACACGATCCAAACTAGCAAACTTATACGCGAGACAGAATGTTACGTCCTTTATAAGAAAAGTTTCTTTCCGAACAAAAATTAGACTGCGGATTTTTATGCGAAATGCAAACATTTATGATATCGTTCAGACAGTGAAATCATGCATTCGGCTCCTAGCATTTATGCATTCGCAAAATCCGGAATCTAATAATGAGTCGAACTGATGCACGATGTTCATAAATTGTCTAGTAGCATGAATATTAAGGGAAATGGGCTATAAATGAAAATTAAATGTGGTACGAAGTGATTTATTATCAGATTCACACATGGAAATGGGGTCACCTCACGTCTTTGCGTAGAATCAATAACGACCCGAAATCGTACACTTGTCTGTCGTAAAAGTACGAAGAACTGTCGGCCTCGGTCAGCTTTGCGACAGCAGTCTGAAAAGATTCTTGTCAGCTTTCCAATTGTAAAACAAGCTAGACTGCGGATTGTATGCACTTTCCAGTAAATTTTAATGTACGGAAGAATCGGAAGAATGCAAGCATGTGCATAACTAAAGATTATTCAATTTTACTTCGCATACAAAGCTACAGTCTAAAGTAGAAATCCAGAAGGAGACCGTTTCATGAGATTTTTCTCAGATGTGTTTCTATTGGACGTGAGACTATTTCCAGGATAGTAATAAATTTTTACTGACATTTTTATTTTATGGAACAAAAATCTCACGGAACATCTTCATCGTGGATTTGCGTCTTCAGAACCTTTGGAATCGTACTTTAGGAAATATCGTTTCTGGGTTCATGTCTAGTCTAGGTATATCCGCGACGCCGCTGACGTTCACTTCGTAGGTAGTGTTATTGCCATCCCAGATAGTCAGCGCGTAGGTCTCCTCGTAGTGGCCGGTCTCCTCAGGCTGGAAGCGGATCCTAAATCTCTGACTGTCGGTAGGCAGCAGAATCCATCGCGGCTTCAAGGGTTCCTCGATCAACGATTCAAAATTAGCGATGGTACTCGTGTCTCTGCTCACGATCGTCGGTGAACTCGGAGAAGGATCCTCTGCTCTGCTCTGCGATCTCATCGTCGACTCCTCCGTCTTGCCTACGGACTTCTGTCTACGTGCTTTGAGTCTCCTTTTCATTTTCCGGCTGTCATGTGCGCTGAAGTCGCTCACGTACGTCGACTCGTTCATCGATAAAATTTCTGACACCCGCGTCAGTGAAACCAGTTGATATATGTCTGGATTTACGAACGACCGTATTAGAATTGTAATTTATTTTGTCGAACGATGCCCGTTAAATGAATTAAAACGTGTGGCTGGAACGAGATTGTCGTGAAACTTGCCACCATGAATCTTCTGCATTCGCTTTTCCACTTCGCCCCAGCGGAGAACGGAATAAATCTTCGGTCGCAAGTCTGGTTCCGGTGCTGTTTCAGTAGCTGTAAAAAGTGTGTGAATTTAATTCATTCGAAACGATGAACTATTGTTGCGTGGCTTACGTAGAGCAGATTTAGCCAACAGATTTTCACTCATCTGGGCGACTACTAGATTGTATACCGAATCTCGCCAGGGATCTTTCGAGTTTACGTACCAAACGTGGAAATTGTTCAGAGGCATCTGTACGTTTCAATTCGATCAAACAATCGAAAAATTGCTTTCTAGTTTATGTGAAATTCGATTTTAAACATTTTTAAATAAATGCTACTTCTGGTATTGTATTTAATCTTTGAGGAAGACAAAAATTACTTCTCTGACTGTGCCCGAAACACCCATTTCTTTCGATCTGCCACTTCTTGGCATCCTAGACTTCGTTGTGGCAGGCGTTTCCTAAATTTCAATAATAAATCAGATTAAATCTGAAATTAGGGAATATCATGGGAGAAAAATGAGTGTACTAGAATCTTTCTTATGGGATCCCAATTTCGAATCACGTTCTCGATCGAGGAGAGATCCGAGTAATATCGATCCATGGCTACCATGACCCTCTTCAGTCCACTAGACACGTCTTCCTTTCCTAGAAAATAAGCGTAGAAGAACAACAGTGCCTCTACGAATGCATAAAATCTGCAGTCTAATTAATTATCTGCGCACTTCGTTTCGTGCTGTCTCTGCTCCTCGTCGCTCTGCTCGTGTCGCGTTTGCTGGAAGCTGGTTTCGAGTTCGGCGACTTCTTGCCTGTTCCCTTTGCCGACCGTTTCGTTGGCTTCTCGTTTTTCTTCTTCTTAGCTACCTTCCCGTTTCTAGAGCTGTGAACACCCTGAAACACCTTTTTCTCTCAAATCTGCGGATTTCCATTTTATTATGATAATTAAATATTTTAGTCTGCGTTTGCAAATGAAACCTTCTGCTTTGCGCGTTCCATCATTCGTTCGACGAACCGAGCTCGTCTGGACTCAGCCGCCTCTTTTTTAATTGGCAACAATGCGTCCAAATACATTTTCCTGTCTTCCTCTGGAAGCTGTTCGTACTCAGACAACGACATCTGATCGATCTCTTGGATCTTCCGAACAGGATCGATCGCTTGTTCCGCTGCAAAGATCACAGTTTCGTTTCGTTTCTATTTCACATCAGATTAAGCTTCTATCTTTTTTACTAATTACTCGAATGCTGAAGATATTTATACGAGTACTATTTGTTTGAAATATCGATTTACCGATTTTCCGTTGAATTTGCTGAAGTTTGTTATTGTAACAAGGCAATGAGTTAAGGAATGTAACGAATAGGAGGTACTCGACATGACCAATGATCCGCAATAAGGAGAGCAAAGCTTCTAGCGTGTTGCTTCGCAGGAAATTAGTTTCCAAGCTCTGCGCCACGAAACCCGGCTTGAAATCCTCCGCGGATAATCTTTTAGAAACGAAGAATAAAAGATCACACACATATACACGTACAATATCTATGAGAAACGTGTATAGGGTGGCCAAAGAGTCGTTTCCCTACTACTTAAAGGACCACCCTGTGTACGATGAAATACAGCGTGCGCTTTGATATGTACAATTCTACGAATGAATTCATGGAACTACAGGAAAACGGTGAAAGGATAGAAACCTTTCTTGAAGCGCTTCGGAAATCAGTTCGTCGCTGATACCAAGGAACGTCTCCGGTTTCCTCGGACTCTTGTCGCCTTTGTCTTTCGGCGATTCGCGAGTTAAACGCGGATCTACTATTTTCTCCAGCAACAAAATGGTTTGGATTTTGTACTCGTATCTGCTCAACGGATCCAGCATTTCCAGTGTATCGGAGGCAGGGATCTTTTCGAACTCCTTCGATAGGTCAGGATCCGCGCGAAGCGGAAGAAGCGACTCCTCCTTCAACTCTGATTCCTCGGTCTGGACAGATTTCGGTGTTTTGCTTCTCTTCGGGCTCTTCGAAGAACCCGATTTCGACGACTTGGCACGCGGCGATCGCTTCTTCCTATCCGGACTTCCTACGCTCGATGGCGATTCAATTTCGAGTCCTTCCTGTTCGACCAATTGCTCTCTTCCATCGTGGTTTAAATAAAAGTAGATACATATATTTTCCAATGAATAGAAGAATTGGAAATGTGATTTCGCGTAAAAAAATTGGCATAACAAATTATTTCGTACTACGAGGAGTATTTTACTTTTGTTCCGCCAAATATGCTTGGTAAGCCTGTGTATAATTCTCGTACGCGTCGTCAATGATCTGCCTGAGCTGAATGCAGCAAGCGCTTTCGCCGAGCCCTATTACTTCCGTGATCGCTTTGTCGATGCTGAGAACAGGAACGCCGAGCACTCGGGCACTCCTGCACGCAGTTTCCTGATACTCTGGGCGATACAAGCAGCGCGTCATCAATTAAGGAATATATACAACCGCCGATTGCATACCCGCGTCGTTATCAAAGGATTAGACTTAAGCGGATCGAGAAAGACGACGTCGTCGCCGGGGTACGTGTACTACAATGGACTACCGGTGAAAGGAGCTCCGTGAAAAATGATGCAAACTCTCTTCTCCGGTGTCGCGCTGTCCTGCAGATCGTTCAACGCGTTCGATCTCGGTTCGATGCTCTCGAAAAGCTCTTGCACCGGGTCTTTCATTCTCTTTTGGAAATCTGGCTCCATGTGCAGAGTGTCTATGTAGCCTTGAAAGAAAAATGTTACACCTTGGACGCATTGTGGTTAGACCGAATTTCCAGAACAGTTTAAAAATCTGAAGAAATACTTTAACCCTTCGTACGAGCTCTATAACAAATGTCAGCCTGACACGCAAGTGCAAAGGGTTAAAAGCGATCTACCAATTATTAGACTACGACTGGTCAAAAGTGAAATGTTGGTTGTGAACAATTTACAATAAAGCAACTGTTGAATTTCGTCGGGATCATTGGTGGGTAAGGGAACAGGTTCCGCCATGGCTTCGTCCATGTCCATAAAATGTGGACAGTCCTTCCTGTCCGACTCGACGCTGGACACGTCGCTGAACGCGTCGTTCTTCTTACCACGGCGACTGGACCTAGCCGTGTTCTTCCTCGCCGTAAACCGGCGACTAGCTTTTCCGATTCGTTTCCTCGATTTCTTCCTGAACGTAAACTTGCCCCGCCTCTCCGTTCTCTTCCTGTCGAGGCCCTTGAATTGCACGTCTTCTTCGCCCAGCAGGCCCTCCTCCTCCTCCAGCTTGTCGGCGATCAACGTGTGAGCCATCTCGTTCACCAGCTGGTTGTAAAATTGCACCAACTGCCAGGCTATCGGCTCGCCGGGCTGTCTGGGAGGCAATAGTATCTCCTTCGTGTCGTAGTAATACAGTAGGACTCGCGATATGTACTCCTCCATCTGAAATGTTCTGAGCGAAATGATCAACTCAGGTTTTTTTGGACCAAATCAATTGTCATATTGTTCCAGAGGAGATATGAGAGAGAGAGAAAGTTGAGGGTGTGGGTTGAATATAACAAAAAGCGCAGGGAGGACAGTTACTCGTCCAAGTGGTGCCAGAAAAATTCCACTGGATAGTTGCACGCGTTCTCTACTGTGAAAATCACTTCTTGAATTTCCGTAAAAGGTATAGTCGGCACAAATCGGATGTTGGATTCTACCACGTTTAAATTCTTTTCGATCCCGCGACCGGTCAATGCAATAGTTTCCGTCTCGGAGCTCATCTTCACGTTTATCTTCAGTTTACTCTCTACGTAGCACTGGAGCAACAATTTCGTTATAGGAATTTGTTTGATAATAATCAGGTCGTATCTAGACTGCGGATTTTTGCGAGGGCGTAGAATATAAAAGATGCACTGCGATATGCAGTCGCTTTTACTCTGCAGTGAGCTTTTATATAAATGGATAAAAATCGCAGTCTTATGTTTGTCATTCGAATCATCTTTACCGTCTTCCGAGGTTTGAAATAAACGCGGACAACCTCGGAGTGTCCGGTGGGGCAATAGTTCGTCTCGTATTGCACGTAAAACGGATTCTCGTCCGGAGGTTTCTTGCGCGAATGATTTATCAATTTCGCTTCCCATTCGCAGTCCACCAGTCCTCTAAAGCGAAGTTTCGTATTTATGTATAAAAAATTATTTCATTTTATTCGTAAGCGTGTTTTTTCTTGCAACGAAGTGGAAAAGTGAATTGATGTTTTTCGTGAGAATTACGACAATGGAACAGCCGGAAAGAACTCGGTAAATGGATCGGTACGCCAATGGTTCTTGGCTACCAAGAAGGAGGTTTTTTTCGCCGACGACGGTAGAAAAAGCTCGCTACGCTCTGGCCCGCTACACACAGCTGAGTTAACGGTATTCTATCGATCCTCGTACGCGTTTCCGAGTAATCTATATGGGTCAATGGGCCGAGCTCCATTCATTTTCAATATTTTTGTGCGCGCCGATCTACGACCGATGGAAAACTGACCAAAATACGAGAACGGTGGAAATATAGCTCGAAACTCAGTATACATGGGTTTCCGAGGTCGCTGATTACGAATTTGAAGTCGATATTATTGCCACGGTAAACCGCGGACGTTCGTGCAAAATTAATTTACCACCATTGTTCCAGAGGAGATATTAACGAGTCTGACTCGTAAATTTTGTACCGAACCTGAACATCGAATCGTCATCGTAATTTCATGTTCAACGAGAATGTACAAAAATTTCGTATAAATTGCATATTAATTTTGCATAAAGATCCGCTGACCAGTTGTTATCCTTAGTAAATGATGATAGATTTGTTACTCGTTCTTTATAAGAAAGCAGAGGACCAGGCATTCTCCCACGACGACGTCCTGGAAGTCTAAAAATTTCGTATTCATCGACACGTTCGGATAGGTCACAATCCCTTTTATAGTGACGGGAATCGTACATCCATTGGCGACCTGTGTAATACCATTCGCATGCAACAATTTTGAATTGCCAGCGTTCGTTTCTTGTTTACTGAGGACTTGCCTCTATGTGGATCGTGTGTTTCACTTCCGTGCTCTTCTCGGTGAATCTGTCGCGCGTCGGGTTCCAGGTGACTTGAAGCACCGCGGAATCCCCGACGAGTAGCTTGGAGTGTTTCTTGAACTCCACTGTGATACCGGACTTTTCCAGGAAATTCTTCTTGTCTATCGTCCTCATTCTCATGGTCGTGCTCCATGGCCCGTAATTGATTAGGTTCGTCGAATAATGAGCGGTGCACTCAACGATCACGTATCTCATATCTTATACAAAACATATTCACTTTGCATCGTATAATAAGAGAAACCTTATTAGGGACACAAGCTGCTTGTTCTCTTATATTGAAAATATTTAATATAAAATCAAAATAAACATATTTATAATCAATTGCTAATTCAAAATTGCTATCGTTTATCTAAAAAAGAAAACTGTTTACATCCCTCTATTAATTGCCACTGTCTGCGATTTCCTATGTATCATTAATTTCCATGTTTGAAATACTGAAACGGTAAATGAAGACGTACCGATGATGTACTCGAATGAAAAAAGCTGAGGGATCGGTTCGTTCTTGCGAGTGGCATAGCGCTGCATTAAAATGTACGAGTTGGCATCGACGAACTTCCTTGCCAAGTGTCTTTCCACCGCCATGTCGATGTCAATGACTCGTAGAAACGTCTCCTCCTCGGATGGAATAATGCACCAACCCTCAGCTAAATGCATGTCATTTTCAACGAAGGTAGATCTTTCAATTGAATCTTTATATCAATTATTATTAGACCGAGGATTTTATCCTAATAACGGGTCGCGTCTGTTTAACAAATTTTTTAAACCCCACTTCTCTGTAAATATCATTTTTTCTAAAAGTCTCAATCATATTTTTTTCTCACTTTTGACAGTGATCTTATTTATGATGATCGTACTTTCAATAATTGAAGCTTACCTTCCAGAATCGCCAAGTCTGTTACGAGTAGATCATCCCATTTTCTTCCATCCGGTTTGTTCACCTTTTATCGAAAATATGAAAACGCAAATTGATAGATTCCAGAATAGATTCATAGATTCATCTTACGTTAAGCAAATAATCATCGGTTAACCACTGGATGGCAAAATATTCCAACTCGACGGAATAATACTGGGGCGGTTTGCCCCGGGGTATGGACAGATAAACTTGCGGGAATGTGCTGTAAGCTTCCACTTTTATCGTCACTGGCATCAAATGACTTATCTACAACTCGACAAATAATTGCATTCAGAGTTATTTTTAAAATAGCAATGGGACAGGAATTTAGGGATTCAATAAGTATAATTATTGACACCTGCAAATAAATCTGATGATCGATGGATCCAAGGACCGTCGGGAGATGATCCACGTGAAATTCCACGATTCCCTCAGGTTCCACGAAGCCGCAGTTAGGCTCGACTTTCAACGGCTGTAAATCGAATTGATCCGCAGCCTCGTCGATCAACAGATCCGTAGTTATTATCTTATACTCGAACGCGATTCCGCAGCGATTCCTTAAGACGAAGCTTTTGCGATTCAACTCTAAGAACATCTGCAACGCATTTCGCTATTATATCCTATCGATCGTTTTTGGGTGTCGATTATCAGTAATAAACTGCCGATTTTTATGCAGAATGGGAGATGCACGTGCTGTTTGCGATATATAATAAACGAAAATCGAGTAGGTCACGTTTTGAATGATACGAGTTTGCATAAAAATTCGCTGACAATTTATTGGTAAACGATATGCGTGACTACTTGTTGACCAAAATCGATAATGTTCGTGTCAGTCTCGAATCGCACGGCGTCTGCGCGTGCCAGCAGATTCACGAGCTCGGTAGGTCCGCGAAGAACTTCGCAAACGATTCTGGCTTTTATTTGAAGTCGTTCGAAGCCGTGAAATCCTACGTGCACCCGTTGCACGGTGTACGGGAGTACCGTTCCCTCGTTCGGGACGATCTGAAGTACCTGAAACGATCACGTGCCATGCTTCTATAAACAGTTATTAGATTTTCGGTAGGATAAAAATTCGTTCGTTCTTTTGTTCGAGCTACAATTTTATTGAAGATTTATTCTATGTAATATTATTCTACTAACTTCGTTGATGAAATAATTCTTCGGAGGATCAGGTCGCAACGATTCTAAAACGACCAGATCCTCGTCCTTCTTAAAATACGACCCGATAATCGACATGAGCAACTCTCTGATCTCCTGGTTGGACACTTGATAGCCGTTCGTTCCGATGTTCTCGTCTAACAGTTCTGGCTTGTGCCTGTGCGTCTCCGAAACGGGTGCTGCAACCGAATTCCCAAGTGAAATACGATGGGGGACGTTGGTCGCAGTGTAGTTACAATTTACGGGTGGCGGTATCGTTTTCAATGGGCCGTCTCCGCTTCCGTCTTGCACGTCGTTGTTCATGCAGATCTCTTCGTTCATCTCCGTCTCGACCGAGTCCTCGTGAATCTCAGGTGTCCCTACCTTCAATTTCTCTTCCTCTGGCAAACATCCACACTCCTTCAAACCAACGAGTTTACAATACTTCTTACCGTTCGGCGAATGAACAGAGCAATAATAAAATATTTTTATTGTCAATTTGCAAATTTTAATTTCGAACGGAAATAAATAACACTCGCAGTTTAATAATTTCTAGGATTTTGAAAAACTCACGAGTTCGGTAGTCGTGTCACGTTCAATCTCGATGGTATCGGCGAGCCACTGGAATTTATACACGACGGACACGGGCCCGTCGTTGGTCAGAGTTAACACTTTTTCAGCGCTCGAGCCCAGCTCGCAGTCGATTACAATATTCCGCGGTTCTATGTTGATATTAGGAAAATTCACGTAACCCTTGCACGTGATCTTATCCTATAAAATTGGAATCGAGCATGTTTAATTAATTTCTGTAGCTATTATTATTGGTTCATCCTCGATACTGTCATTTACTTGATTAGGATGTTCCTGGTATTCTAATCGGAGCAGGCCAATGTAGCGTTTCGAGTAACGATTCGCGGTCCCGTAATCGATGGAGAAGAAAACTCGGATCTTGGTTGTAGCCCCGTCGATCAGAACAACGTTCATTTTCTGTACGTGTTCCTCCGCGCTGGTTATCAGACAGAAAGGTGGTTTGACAGAAAGTTGGACGTTCAAGTCCAACTTCGACTGGTTGGTCACTAGCAATTCATCTAATTCACAAAAGACGATGAGATGAGAATTCACATGACTGCAGATTTTACAGGTCAACACGGTGTTTAATAAATTCGTTAACAACTATTGCTCAACGGGATGGAAAATGCACGCACCAATCTGCTGCAACTTATCGCCCGCGGGGCAAATATCCACGCGAAAAGTGAGCTCGCGCCTGCTGAATAAAATTTGCGGCTCCGTCAGGGTGATTGTGAAAGAGGACTTGTCTACCCTCTCCCGCTTCCCTCCGCCCTGCATTTGACCGAAGACGTACCAGTCCTCGAACAAACTTTCGTTTCTGCAGGTGGAACATCGTGCAACTTAATAAAACTGCGAGGAACGCCGATGTCTGACCATACATCGACCTATACTACTTACTTCTTCCAAAACAGTTTGCAAAAGACTTGCTTCGTCGTTCCCGGTGAAATTTCGACCATCCGCGGGTGTATTTGAAACTTGGTGCTGCGTTCAAAGGAATCTGAAGAGTAAACATGAATGCTGAAGAGAATTTTTACCTACGTTTCGGACATTGTGACTTGGCCACGATAAAATCGTATCTCCGGTTCGTTCGAAAAGATCATCTGATACTGTCGCGTGCCCCGATTTGTCATGGTGATCGTCCGTTCTATTTCTTGATGGCTGAAGAAGCGAGAGATCCATTTGTTCATACAAATGCTTATTTAACCCTTTCACTGCCAATTTTATTTTTTTATGTTTTATTTCTTTGCATTCACTGGTTGCTAAGCTTTCGTTTAGTGACGGCTAGAACTGTTACTTTTTAATCACTCGTGATCGGATCACGTTCACTCCAGTCACAGTGGCAGTGAATGGATTAACAAAGCAGGCATGATTCACCTGAACAGGAGGCCCCAATCGAAAGTGGGGAATATCTGCGGTTCGAAAACGACGCTGCACCCGTAGCCAGTGACCCTCAGCTCGACCGAGATACTTCGGCTATTAATTACGGAAAGTACGAGGTTCTCCTTGTATTTCCCAACGTCGACGAGGAACACCTTGACGGTGATTGGCATCGAACCCTGGGGCTCGAGATCGCCGGACCTCGGACTCACGCTCCACGGTGAATTCGGTTTACTCTTTGGGAAACGAGCGAATGAATAATTAGACCGCCAGTCTCGTGGATTTATGCAAAAATCTAATCTCCACAAACGCTGCATGCATAAGATATAAAAAATGAATACACGTTTGAATGATAAAAATACAGTTTGGTCACTGGCTATCATAAATCTCTTATCGTGTATAAAAGTCTATTAGCGAGATGGAAAATTGAATTTTTCAACAGAGATAGTACCATCGCCGCGGTGAATTGAGTGGGGATGGGCGAATCGTTGATCACTTGCAATTCCATCGTCTTTTCTTCGAGAAGCTTGACATCTCCAAAGTTCAAGGAATTCGGTTCCACCGAGACCACCGCCCCTTGCCCGTTGCACGTGATGATCACGGACGATAAAGCCGGAGATTGTTCTCCCATAGTTAACATACTGCACGATACATCACATTTTCATATTGACACGATGACGAAGCAGAAGAATTTAACAAGTATCGTAAGAGATATGAATTGGGAAACAATCGTTTCTCTCTAATCGTTTTGATAAGAGGGACAACGCTTTCGTCTAATTATTAACCGCATAATTTACTTCAAGCAGACTCTTTGATTGCCCAGGACCCTCGTGATAATGCTCACGTCGATGGTCCGCGATTGACGAGGCTTCACGTATCCTTGGTACTTGGAGAGCGAACAAACTACCTCCGAATCCTCCGAAACCTAAATTCCAATGAAGAATGAGATGTAAGAGATGTAATTGATTTAATCACGATTTAATATTACTTGTTGTGGAACGAGATAGAAGTATGCGTCCAAGTCGGATTTATTTTCAACGGCGAAGGATCTCGAGTAAGGGAAATTGACAAAGCAGAACCGGATAGCGATCTCCGATGGTACGATGGATAGCGAAGCCACGCTGCCGCAAAATTTCACTGGCAACGTGACAGGATTCGTATCGGTGTCCCACATATCGACTTGAATAGTCGTCTGGCCGGCGCGAGCGATATTCGCTGTGTAAATTACCTGCGAATCGGCGGGCACTCGGTTTAACACATTCCCGTCGAAATAAATACAGTGTTGCAATTAACGGTGGATGCTATCATTTATGCAAATGGATTACGGGAAGGAGAATGGCGCACTTTTATTCTTTGCGCTCCGCCACCGACGACTACTCCCTCCTCGGGGATGATTTGAAATTCACGGGGGTTGCTCGGGAAACCGGGCTTCGTTTGAGCCCTCGCAAAGTCTTCGTGACCCAAAGGACGCTGATCCCCATCCTCGAGCACGGTTATGGTGTACGCCACCGGAATCAACGCCAAATTGTGCAGGTACACGTCTTGCCTAGTTCGGAATCCTATAGAGACGTATAAAACAATTGATTTTGTTACAGCCCGTTGAATTAATAGATTCTTTTGTTTCAACGACTCGTTTTAACAGACTCTGACAGTTCTTATCGATTTATCGCTGTATTTTAAAAATCATTCGACTATTGTAATGTCCTAACTGGTTTCTCTACTATTTCTCATACCGAGGGCCGTCGTCCCAAAATCGAGGCTCTCCTTGTCAAAGTGCAACGTCGGACACGTAATGCATCCTCTGCGAGACAAAGAACCGTTCAAAGGTTAACGTATCGACCGCCGTTCGCCCGTGTATCGATCGCGTACTTGATATGCAGGCTGAGCACCTCGAGGCTCTCCTTCACTACGAAATCGACCCTCTCGACGAAGTCGCCTTTGCGATTCGACGAAAACGATAAATTGAAGGATTTGTGCTCGCCGGGACACAAATGGAGGCTGCGAGGCGTCACGTCAAGCGTGCCACCGAAATCGGTCGCCTTCGCGCGGTAAACCAGCGTCCCGGGAATGTGGCTCTTGTTCACCGCTATTACCTGAAACAACCGCGTGGTCCGATTAGAAAATATAATCAGAGCCAGCAATTACAAAGCTGAAGTACCAGTTAGGAAGTGTCCGATGAGAAACCAAGTTCGAGCATTAATAAACGCGAGCAATTGCTTCCCCTTGTACAGGGTGTAAAGGAATGTTTGATCTTTTTTATTTGACTGCGGAGACCAAACATTTCTTTACACCCTGTAGATTCATGAAAGGACGATATAAATTGATATCACGAGCGTTTAATTAATTCGAGATCGATATTCATTGTTACCTCGTAATTGTGGGTGGAGCACATATAAATATTCTCGAGATTGATCGTGAGCACGTTTAACTGGAGAACCGGTCCTTTGCCCGTACCGTAAAGACTGCGTCGTAAAACGGTACACTTTATTGCCGTCTTAACGTTTATATTCCTTGTTTTACGACTAAATTCTATGGCTATTACGTCAACGGTATTCTGTCCTCACGACCAGTCACTTCCAAATAGGCAGTGCTGCACAGCTCGCCCATTTCGAGGGCACGAAATAAAACGACGACTTCGGTAGACGATTGCGGCCAAATCTCTGATTCCTACGGAGTCCTCTTTATTTAAACTATTCGGTTTTATGCATTTATAAAAATTCTGTCTGCGATTTAATTACGGATGAAAAAAATCACCTCAGGCGTGAACATGAAGCAGATATGATTGTAGTGGAACGTCTGGTTGGTCAGTGACTCTAATTCGTCCGCGTAGATCCGCTGATACACTAGTTGATGAATATCCGGGGTGCATACGTTGTAATGTTCGAAATCCACGCAGCGAGGAACCTCGTATTCATATGCCGAGTGGTACAATGTTTTGTATCTATAACAATCATCATCAAATCATTTTTATACGTGTACATATAGATTATAAAAATTAGACGTGGCTATATGAAGAATGTAAATGATTTTCACAATTCTCTTCGCTCGTTGTCCACCTCGGCGCTCTCGTATTGCATCCACTTGTACTTGACGATGAAATTGCTTCTGTTGTGAATAGTGATAGTTTTGCTTCTGGAGAGACCCAGGAAAGTATCTTCCATTCTTACGGTCCCTCTGTCGATCCGAATGGGACAATTCTCTGCGGAGCCTCGGACCTTCACTCGTAGTTTTTCACCTTCGGAAGGAAACAACATGCTACTCCGTGATCGTTCCATTTTTCCCCGATCTTTTTTCCCTTTAATCACCCGTGTCGTATTCGAGAAAAAGATTAGCCTCGAACTCCCCGGCTTTCCTCGATAAAAAGTAAACGGTGAACTGTAGAGTCTCCTCCTCTTCTATCGTCCCTTTCGCAGGCTCGATCCAGAAACAGGCACTGCAATTCCCATCAATTTTTTATCACGCGACACCGTGTTCGTATTTGCATGATTAAATGAATAAAATGAATATTGCACGTAGTTTTGTATATGACAGTCTACTTGTCGGTGTAGACGGTGAAAGTAGTTGAAGCGTTTCCCACGTTCCTCACAAATAAAGTTTTCAGCGACGGGATTTTGACCGCCGTAAGTGGCACCTCGATCTTATCAGGAAAATCTAACATCCCTCTCGGTCCAATCGCTGAAGCGACAAAAGCACATGCCAAATATGACGATAAGAAAAATATCAATCGACTGCGGATTCGATGCATTTATGGAAAGAGCTGAATTTGCGATGGTTAAATGCATGTACATAAATCTTGCATTAAAATCCGGAGTCTGGCTATCGGTTTATGGAAGCGCACCTATCACCGGTACAGTGAACTCTCCGCTGTCAGTAGTGAACTTTAGTTCGTAATGATAATCTCGCGTCATCTCCGGGGTGAATTTCACTCTGTACATAACGGAGAGACCCGGCGCGACCATCATCGAGTAATTGCATCCGCAGGCTTCCACGGAGAAGAAAGGATCGGGCTCGTTGGAGCTTCTCAAGTATTTCGGTATCTTTTGTTCATAAATGAAATCAAACACGTTTTTTATTTGAAGTTTCAAATCGGAACAGGCTACGCACTTCGCATGTCTGTTAGAGGATTTCAAGACGAATTCGCTAAATATCATAAAATTTGCTATAACCACGTGAAAGCTCTCACGAAAACATTTTCGATCAGACTGCTAATAACAGAGTACTGATCACGATTCGTGGTTCACCCTGTATATTCATTTTTGAATACTAAATATACTGTATGGAATACCGAAAGCTGCAGTATTTGAATGATAAAAGAGATATTTAAGATCGATCAGTTTTACCGAAGTCGAGTTTCGAATTGTGACGATCACGGACAGTGAGGAACCAGCTGCGAACTGTTGAAATATGACGATGGTAGGATTCACTTCGAAGTTGCAACCTTCAAATCTCGTGCAGAACGGTAAATTGAGCCTGTTGCTCCATTTAATAATGTACTGCGTTCTTTCCTCCGTGGCCATCGACAATTGCTTAATGTAATCCGACGGCCGTCCGACATACTAACGACATAATTAAACAATTTTCGACAGCTCGTTCATTAATAATACAGTCGTCGTCCAACCTGCTCCTCATCCCTGGATTTCTTATACGAAGTTTCATGCACGTCTCGCAGCAGGCAATTTATGATCTCCGCTATATTAAAGATCCTTAAACCAGACTTTATAATCTTCCCTTTATCATGGTCCATTTTTATCTACACGGTATTAAACAGAAGCCATTAGGTATTATTTCACATTCGGTTGAAAATCGATTCATCAACTCGACGTGTACTAATTGCAATCTTCACTGCCCTGTGCATTTATTCTTCGGGTTCCATTTAAGGATGTATTGGCTATACAATCAATCCCAAAAGTTTATAGGCTCATTTTGTAGAGGACGACGAGATCTACAATCTCTATATAACAGTTTCTCGCTAGCTTCAATAGAAATACCAGAAAGAATGAAACTTTAATTCGATCGATGCTTGTCAGTTAAGAGATGCAAAATTCAATCGTTCTCAGTAGCAAATTGTGTCATTTATAACTTAATATCGTAGATAATAATATTTGTACACCGTGATAGCGGAAAGCGGCTCTTTGCAAGATTAATCAGTAATTAGCGAGAGTTGCCTGGCAAGGGAACAACAGTTACCAAAGTTTGCGCGCTTCACCTAATCATCCCACGCTTTTAATCTCCTTAGAAATCCACTTCGTACTTTTACACGGAGTAACCAATCTCTCCTTCAACGCTTTACCCCGTGAAATTATTAATAAGCTGGACACGCTTATCCCATTTATTCGCACCGGATACAACGATTAACATTTAATCCGTTTGATTACACGATCAATTTTGAATTTTATTCGCAAGCATTTCGCGTATGTACATTCGATTCGTCGGGACATCGGACGAACGTTCAACAGCACGGACTTGGGTAGGGATTGGAAGCTGGGATCCTGCAACAGGGCGAGGGACAGAACGGCACCGTGGAGCAGATGGGTGGCGGACAATTGTACGCGGGACAAATCTGGCCGAGCGTTTCGTAGCACAGTTTGCGCGATAGTCGCGCGCTAAGAGGCGAGAGCGGAGATTCCGGAGGCCAGCCCACGAATCTGGCGTACGCCTTTAAGTAACACAACGGCGGTGCTTTGCAACGCGGACGAGGCGGCGGCGGCGGACAACAGGGCATTTGTGACACGCAACAAGGATCGCACGTCCCGTCGTAGCAGCACATTCCTGGACAGGGACCTCGCGGGCAACCAAACGGCGGACAGCTGATGTTGCACACTTCCGGTTCCGGTTTCCTGACCATTTATACAGTTAAAATCGTTTAGGTCGTTGAAGTCCTCTTGTTCTTACCGGCAATCGATCTCGTTGAGCATGCAAAGCATCTCGTCCATGTAGTTGCGGTATCTGGTGTTACAGGGAACTATCCCGGGATGTCTCTCCATGATGAATAAAGTTCAATAGTCACTGGCACTGAGAATTTTGTGATCTTTTCCAATGGGATAAAGTGTGAAGGATATTTTGAATTTAGACCATTTTTATCTGAAAGGGGAGAAACAAAAGTGGAGTGAAGCTGGTTGCAGATATCAGTGAATAGAATAACGCGATGTATATTGTATATATATATTAGAGTTGCAGTTTTCAATTGAATAGTTGCTAAACAGAAGAGACGAGCTTCATTCTTGCTAGTCTATATCGCCAGACGGCAATTTGCTGATGAGAAACGCCATGGAAAGTAGACAATGAGAGAGAAGGAAAGGGGCTACGATCCTAGGGTGGAGGACGTGCTCGAAAGGATGAATGCCGCTTGAGGACATCTGCCATTAAGTACCGGCTACGGTTTTTCTAAACGTTTCCCCCCTCTTCGCGATATTAAAATGCAGTCAATTAAAAACTGAGCGAAACGCTTTATTCAAAAAAACCGAACCACGTCCCTTGAAATCAGAAGTATATAATCGATCCTTCCGTTCGAGGGACCTGTTTCGCTACAAAATAAATTACATACGAATACAAAAAAGGAATATACTCCTCTCAACAACGTAAAACGAGCTATAAAATGAAAAACGAGTCTAAAAAATAATATGTTCGTTAGATCATCATCGGGGGCTGCACGTGTCTGCTGGCAATCAGAGTTTCCGGTGCGACGATCTGCGAGTTGGGAAGACAGTCTGGCCTCCTGGCCAAGTACTTCACACCCCCGATGGTCCTGGCTTCGTGAATGCTCGGTTGCCTGTAATACGCTCTCTGGATTGGCATCTTCCCATCCGGTGGCTGTCCGCCCTTCATACTCTCGCTGGCGTCGCCACCGGCGTGATCGTAATTAGCCTTGTTCACCTCGACTTCCTGGGTCGTGCCTACATCCCCCTCGCCGTTGTTCCTTACCAGATTCTTCGTGTTCTGATGATACTGCTGCATCTGTTGATAATGCTGATTGTGAGGGCAGCTGCCCTCGATCTTGAACGGCATCACCTGCTCGCGGGCAACCATCGGATTGTTATAAGGAATCACTCCAACCGGATTTTGCAAATACTGCTGCTGCTGCTGCTGCTGCTGCTGTTGCTGCTGCTGTTGCTGTTGCTGTTGCACGATCGTCTGCGGATGCGGCTGCTGCGCAGCTACGGTACCGTTCTCCCTCTCAGCTTGCACGCTGTACACGTTCCTCGGATTGTTCTGCTTCTGTCTTGGATACTCTAACATGAACTCTTCGTCTATCTTGCGCGAGTATCGCTGCGGGGGCGGATTGTTGGGAGTTCTCCAGTTCTCCAGACCATTGGCGCCGACCCGTTTAGCAGGTGGCTGGTGAGTGGAGCTGACCAAACGTTGCTGAAACTCAGTCTCCACCTCGTCCCGCTCTTGCATTCCGTTCAACTTGAACACAGGCTTCCTGGTAGTCAAATTAGCCAGGTATTCCAAACCTCGCTTAGTTTCTGCGGATAGTTTAAGAGACTCCAATTGTTTCTTCGCAGCCTCCGGATCCTGCAGTCCGTTATTTGATCTCTGCGGTCGGACCTCGTATTTGTACTTACGTATTTTTAACAAACTCGTCGACTCCGTGGATGGTCTGTCCTCTTCGTGTATCTGAGCGTTATTGGAGGACTGAGCTTGCTCCGGATTCGGCTGAGAAGACGGTCGATAGAATTGGTACTGCTGCAAGTGCGGGTTGTAACGTTGGGCCTGCTGATAAGCGAGGTACTGAGCTCTCGCAGCTTCGTTCGAATTGCCAGGAACGGTGTAAGGTTGGGAAGGTACGTTGCCAGGATTCTGAGGTCTCAGCTGTTGTTGCACAGCAGCTTGCTGCCAATGCTGGTAGCTCTGTGGATTCATCTGCACGTGAGCCTGTGCATTAGCTTGCTGTTCTTGCTGTTGTGATTGAAGCTGCTGCAATTGCTGTTGCTGTGATTGCTGTTGCTGCTGCTGTTGCTGTGATTGCTGTTGCTTCTGTTCCCGCTGCTTTTGTTTAGCCTCGCGTTCCTTCCTCCGCTGCTCGTGCATCTTCTCTATATCCATGTAAGACAATCTCGGAGGAGTCAAGTGAATCATCCATTCAGGTTTTTCGTCTTGTTGTTTGATCTTTTTGCGTGGAGCAGGCGTGGGTCGATTTGCTTCCGCGTTTTCGTCCTTCTCTATCCGTTCATTGTATTCCAAATGCTTCCGTTGTTCGTTCAGCAATATTTCAAACTGCCTCCTCATGATGTCTACTGGTACACCTTGTTGCTTCATAGCGGCTAGCAATCTCTCCTGGTCGCGAATCATGCCAACGGTGAACTTGTATTGTTTACGTCTCTTAGATTCCTGCTTGTCTTGCACAGGCTGAGGATTCGATTCCGGATTGGGATTCTGCTCAGGATTCATTTGTGGATTCATCGATTGATTAGGCATCTGTCCTTGCATCATGTTCCCATGCATGGGGTTACGATACAATTGCCTCGCTTGGTGAGGAACAGGCATTTGCTGAGGCACGGACATTTGCTGAGGCACGTACATTTGCTGAGGCATAGGTACTTGTTGAGGGATTTGAGACACAGACGGTTGCGAAGTTCTGTATAGCTGTTGATTAGGATTCACCACGTCGACGTTATAAGCTCTCAGCTGAGCCTTCGCGTTAGGGTACTCGGTGACCAGATTCTTCTGATTGATATCCTGTTGAGACGTCATCCCCTGATTGGGCATCATCTGTTGACTCGCGGTTCCATGCATCTGGGGATAGCTCATCGCCTGCATTTGCTGCTGCTGCTGCATCATGTTCTGCTGGAATTGCTGATAAACCTGTTGCGGGTGTTGAGGATTTTGCGGATTCGGAGTCAGGACGTTTCTGTAGAACACTTGACCGTGCGCCGGGCAAGGGTTCTGATAGTTCGCAGACGGATCCGAAGAAACTTGTGCAGGAGTCTTGGCAATCACCGTTTTCCTGTACATCACCGCGTTCCTACCGCCGACTGGTTGCTTGTCGTAATCGGGTTCGGTCGCGTCGTTCTGCTCCTCCTTCTTCGGTTGACTCGGATCGGTCACAGGTACGGAATTGTTTGGTACTTGTTGAACAGGCTGCGAGGTCGTCGCGACCGGGGTATGAACAGTCATCTGAGGATTCCTTTGCTCCCCGTAAGCTACGAAAGGGCGATGGGTTTGCACGTTCCCGACCTGTTGAGGCAGCAGGGACTGATCCGAGTGCGGATGCACGTGGTGAAGTCCCTGCTGCTGATGCACTACTACCTGTTGCTGGCCAGCCTGCACACCCTGCAACGGATTAATCTGTCCTTAACGCGAATCCAAGTTCAAGTACTTTACTCTGGAACTGTGCTTTGAGTCTAATAATTGAGATACTACAGTAAATATAATTTCTATTCACTGTCTGTTTCCCCTATGTAATTTCAAGTCAATGAGTGAATACTCTGTTCTAACTAGACTAATGGAAAGAAGCAAATTACTTTATGACGAGACAAGATTATTTAATTTACCGGATATCGATGATTCACATTTTGCGCAGCATCACCCTGGCCATTGTCAAGCCTCGGGCTCATGTACACAACGCCGGAATCTTGATTCTGCTGGGCGATCAACGCGCCTATGGGTTTAGGGGCGAACGGCGGAGGACTTTCCAACTTCTTCACCTTCTCCAGCGGGAAGCTCTTCAGTCTCGGGGAGAATCCTCGCATCTCTTTGCTCCTGTCCTGCAAGCTGAACCTGGTCTTCGGCACGGTCACGTCCACGCCTTTGCTGACCATCTTCAACGGGTCGTTCGCGTCCGCGAGATTATGCACGGACGGCGCCTTCTCCGGACTGTGTGACATCGGTTGCACGGTGTTCGGTCTGGCGTGCAAGCTGCTTTCGCTCGGACGCCTGGAGGATGCTTTGGGTTTGCTGTTTCTGTCGGCTGAAGCTTTCCTGCTGTATTTGTAGAAAGTCGATTCCGTTTGTTGAATAACCCCCAAATTTTCATGCTGCTACGTATTTGAACGGAAATAAGGGTGGTGTACCTTTTGTTCATTGTCGATCGGAATTTTGGAAAAGATTCGGAAAGAGTTAGTGGAACATAATCTAGGATGGAATTTAATTCTCTAGCTCAGATTTTGTATCACAGCCAGGACGAATGGGAAACTCTGACCAATTCTGACAGCTAGGTTCCCGTTAGGGGTTGAAGGTAGACCCAGTCGCCATGGATACGGTAAATTATATGTACGTGTGAGTTCGAAGGAATCTTTCTCGAACTGAGCAGTACAATTTTTTAAATGACTGCAGACTTAACGAAAGAATCTGTAATTAGTTCACTTCTACAAAGAAACATCAGTCATGTGACGATTGAATTCCTCTTCGTACGTACCCAATACGTACGTAAGGCGAATATAATTTGAATCGAAAGACGCGGGATAAGAACAAGACAAATTTGCATCCTGAATTTTACTATTTTTATTAAGTGTATAATAGTTTACAAAAAGAAGCACACACCAATGCGTATGACTCTTATCGTTCTATAGTTTTATTCGACAACTGAGTTAATAAAAGAGTCGATCGAATTTTCATCCGACGAACGTGGCACGACGGTATCAGTCATTCCGTTGTCGCAACCGTACCAAAACCTTGAAGACGTGACTTGATTCATAAAAAAAAATCACAGTAAAAAATGAATGGTACTCGTTTTCTATTGCGATCAACGCGGTCAAACACCGAAGTCCATCGCGCCCACGTTCAACATCGGCGTACCGGCAGCTTAACAATGAACAGAGTTCCCATCGGTCGTGTTCGCCTAGCAGGGACAAGTACAATTCTAGGGGGGCAAGTAAGAGTCGATGCGGGGTGAATTCAAATCCGAAGGAGCTCGATCACTAAAAAACTGAAAACTGGCGCCGACAAATTCTCTTAACTTCGTTCTCGTCATAATGATTCTCGTGGAATCAACAATTCCGTCCGTTCGGTTAATTAGTCGCCTCAGAGTAAATCGCAGTCGGGTAGCACGCAAATCGAGAATTTCTAATTAAATTGCTTTTCACAGTCCATGATAAGACGCGTCCGAGTCGATCCTATGCCGGGGTTTAAAACCAGTTCTTTCTTCTCCAATTCAGTGCTGCTTCGAAGTCAGCAGATAGAGAATAATCAGAGGTTCTCTCTTTTTCAAGTTCTCTTCAACGTTGAAGTAGTTTACGTCCGGTTTTTTTACGTTAATCTGCAGATTTCTTCTTTTTATCCGGTATCGTTCTGTATTTTTACAAAAAAAACGATAAGAACGCGAACTATGCTTAACAGGAAACAGACTCTACCTTTATCGTAATAGGGATTAAGTTCCACGCGCGTCTACAGTCGTTCTCGTTGGTTCCAACACACACGATACCCCACGAATTCGAAGAAATCGTTCGATTGATCGCCGAGCTGCTAACAAGGGGGGTAACAAGGCACTGTGCAAAGAAAGCCGCAACATTAATTAAAACATTTGACGTTAATTAATGAGTGTCGACGGAGGAGTCGTTGTAACAGCGAACTGACTGCAAAGCGATCGGCAAGGCGAGCACGGGGGTGGCGTGGGTGGTGGACAGGGCATACAGGGAACCACTCTCTTGGTGCAAACGAACGCGACGGTCGGCGGACACGGTGGGCAAGGCGGGCAGGGGGGCGCGCAGGCGACCATCACCTTTGGTGGACAAGGCAGGGCGCAACAAGGCGGACAAGGCGTACAGGGCCTCAGGTAAACCTAATTTCAAAGTCGATTATAAGCCTTTACTGTGTCAACGTCTTTCGGGCATTAAAATTGTGTAAAGGCTGATCTTGTGTTCGACGCGTTTTTACAGCCTTGTACTTTATAAAGAAATTTATGTGTGTCAGAGACACGTTAGTGTGAACAACTAAACTGTCGAATTAAAGGCACTCTTAGAACGTACTGTCGTCCTCGTTGGTTGAGGTGGGCAGCGCGGTGGACAGGCAGGTCTGCAGATTATAGTCGGTGGACAGGCTGGTGGGCAACACGGAGCGCAAGGTCTGTTTGAGCACATTTCTGCGTCACCTTCACAGAAACGATCACTTAGTCAGATTACTATCTCGCAGAAAATAAATCTATCAATTTTTCATTCGATCGTATCATCTTCGGATTCGATGAATTTGCAAAAAACTCGAGTGTGGAACGTATGTGAAGCATAAAAAGCACCTCAGAATGCTCGAACGATAAAAGATATTTTCTAAAGCGATACCGGGAACGTTTCGTTTCGTATAAACATCGGCAGTCTGATATCGCGAAGCTGGCCAGCCGTTAATGAGGGGGATTTTACTTGATTAAACTGTAGCAGTGCCGGACGCAGGCCGATTAGAGGATGTTAAGCCGATAATTCTCCGTGATATCCATGAGCCTGTGCACTGTGATTGATCCCCTGTTGATGGACCGGGCCCGGCCTAACGAGAAACGACGGCATCGGTGGTACTTCGGGATAAAATCGGGGTCACTTGAAATTTTGCCGGCGCGCGGACGAGAAGTGGCTCGCGGTCTGACGGTGTGTTTCCTTGTTTTGTGTTTCGCCCGTTGTCCGGGCGATACGATATTCCTCTATTTGCCGTGTCACTCATTTTTCAAACGGGCGGGAGAAGATTTCATGAACGAGATAATAGATTCTTAATTAATTTATATATAAGAGCGGTAATTAATTAATATTATCGCTGATCGATACCGATCTATCTTAATTAAAAAAAACACTCGTGTTCCGTTTGGATCGATTAATAACCAGATGTAGGATGTTTGAAAATACTTCATTTTTAATTACAAGTACAATTCTCTTTTCTTAAATAATCGTTAAGTAATTATTATTGACAGTTCACCACAGAATACAATTAGCAATGAAAATCTTGCTTATGTCACGCAGAAGCCAGGTCCGTTCGGTGGCTGAGCCGGTATCCCACGCCTGTTCATGCGGCAGGCGTGCTCCTCGAGCCGCTGAGCAGCCTTGTTGTCATCTTGCTTCGCGCTGCTCCAAAGGCGCTCCGCCGTTGCGCTCGCACGCGGCCAAATTCTCGGATGTATATTATTCCTTCGATAAAAAATAAAAATCCAATAACCTACGATCTTAGTACTGAGACAAGTCGCTATTAATATGCAGTCACGTCGACGCAGCCACTTACGGAGTGCCCACAACGCTCACGCGGTCTATTCTTATATCTCTATGCTTCAGACACAAATGGAAGCTGTCTCTTGTAGTATATATTTTGAGGAATGAGTAAAGAACGTTTAATTACCTATCGACGAATTCTCCCCACATGCAAGCTTCACCGCCCAACATCAAATGAGTCACGTTCGCTGATCCAGCGAACGACAGAGGATCGCACTTGTAGTATTTCTTCCAATCTCCACCGCCAGCGATGTGGTCCAGGTACCAACAGGCTGATAGCAACACCGGATGCCCGGCCTTGGTCGCGTTCTCCAGCAGTTTCTGCCACAAACCGGTCCACACGTGCACCACCGTGGTGTTCGGCATTGTCACTCGGTTCTCGAACACCTGGGGACAAACCGCAATCCATCGAGCCAGTCTCCCAGGGTTTAATTCATTTCCACGTAATCGAAGTACATGAGAACGATCGAAGAACTGATTATCTCGTTTGAATCACGCTTTGGATAAAAACATGCGAATGCCCTTCGCATGTACAAAATTCTGATCAGATATCGTTAAAGTACGGCGAAGGGTTAAGAATTCTTACCTCCTGCCAAACGATCGTGCTGGCTTCTAGTTTATCCGTGATCTGAAGCAGCTTGCCGATGTACTCGCTCTCGAGGAGCGCGTAGTTCTTCGACATGTTCCGCGCCTTCATGTACGCGTTGATCTCCGGATTGCTCTGCCAGCAATCGAACGGGACCTCGTCGCCACCCAGATGCACGTATTGATCCGGGAAGACTTGGACGATCTCGGCGAACAAGTGACGCAGGAACTCGTACAGGTTCGCGTTCGTCGGATTCATCGGGCCCAGTTTACCGTTCGGGTTCCCTTTGGCATCTATTCATAATTTATCACTCTTAAGCTACGTCGTATCCGTCCATCGTCATATCAAATAATCGACTATTTTCGCGTTTCGCTTGATAACTCATCGAATTATACTCGCGTTTTATCAAGTCCGTTAAATTTTACTTTAAATAATAATAATCATTAATTCCTGTCGCGTGTTTTATTGATTTCGCTTACCGTAACACGTGGTCAATAATTCAGGGTAAGCCAAACCCCATGACCTGGTATGCCCAGGAGTATCGAATTCCGGCATCACCCGGATGCCTCTCAGCCTCGCGTAGTCGACGATTTTCTGGATGTCGTTAAGCGTGTAGACCATCGTCGGATGGTAGGCCCCGTTCGCGGACAGGTTCGGATAGCTGGAGCTCTGATAAGGGAAGCTGTTGTCGTCGACGATGTGCCAATGAAAAACGTTCATTTTGTTATAAGACATCGCGTCCAAGATGAGCAATATGTCGTGCACGGGTAGATAATGCCGGGCCGTGTCCAACAGGAGTCCACGATGGGGCATCTTCGGTCGGTCGACGATCGTCTGGCATCTGATCTTCAACTAAAGAGAAATTCTCTTTAAAAGTGTTCCTCGATCGTCCGTCGCTGCAAAACTAGATTTATTTCGTCTCATCGTGGTTTCGTTAAATCTTCAATTGCACTGTTAAAAAATTCTCGAGCCTCCAATTTTTATTACCACGCGTTACCCTGATCTCGTTGAACAAGAGTATGGGACAAACGAGACACAGGCAGGGTGAAAAACCTGGCTCGCAGACGGACGTTTAAATTGGTTAATTCCTTCCACACTCACCTTGGAACTGTCTCCGGCTGGGAACAAGAGCTGAGAGAACGTCTCGAGCCCTCGAAGAATTCCCCATACCGAGTCGGCCACCAGCGTCGCGACGGTGGACGTTTCATTGATACTGAGTTTGTCTGTGAAAGTTTAATTGTCACCAGTTTAAATTTGCTCAGACAGAGGAGAGCCGAGACCTTCGTCTGTATTTGAACTTCGAAATTTATTAAATCGTTAGGCAAGTACTTGCTGATAGCGATACGAGTATCAAAGTGACAGTAGAATTACTTTTACATAAGAGCGGATAAACTAGGAGGTAGAAAGATGAACGTATAATCAAACGCTAATTCACCGAGTAATTACTCGGCTGACCTCGAACAGCACGATAACGAAAGATGAAATGAAATCAGGCATCGAGTATACGGGGTGTTCAAGAAACAAGTGTTAGAGCCGAAGAGAGTTGATTATCGTTCGGAAACACTTACAGAATCACCCTATTTTTTCTCGGACACCCTGTAGCTACAACGAGCTGAGTACAACGGCCTTTATGTACGTCACCATTTACTTGATAATGATTTTCATGCATGTAAAATGGAACCGTATCTAAATTCGATTCTGTCCATGTACGTAAAATTTATAGTACGATTTATGAAACGTTTCACCGATGCAAATACTTACATGATTCTTTCATTTGCAAATGAGGCCAGTGCTGGCCATCCTTTTCGCAAGGCTCCCCTAAATCAATAGTCAAAGCGGTGAGGGTACCTTTGACGGTGGTATTGTCTCTTATCGATGATCTAGAATACCCCTGCGAGACGATCTTCGCTATCCGTGCTTCCGTTAAGATAATTGCTTTGTACCTCTCCACCGCGTCCGTCACTATGTCGCACGTCTCGCCAATTATCTGCAAAACCAATTACGTTTCATTACTTTTAATTAGGAGCTCGTGTAACGATCGGGAAGAAACGTGATCGATATGAAGTCAATGGGTGTCGTTCGAAAACCGGCGTGCGATTATTGGATGTTAAGTAACAGTTAAAAATCAGTTACTTCTTTCATTAAACAAACGTGTTGCCAAACAGTTTAGCAGTGTTGTTCGTTCATAGCTGAAATTATGCATGAGTAAATGTGCGTTGAGTCACGAGAATAATAAAAACTGCATAATTATAGATAAAAGGAGCAAAGAAGATAATCAACATTTACGCCCGACCATGTGTGCAGATGTTTTCAACCGAGTGATTCCCCTAATTCGAGGAAAAATATACTGAGAAGAGATAACACGTGTAGTCGATAACCATTTTCCTGCACGCGATATCGGTCACCATCGCGACTATGATAAACAACGAAACCCTGTCTACGCATATTAACATTTTTCTAAATAAGCTAGGAGCACGATACGTTTTTTATTTCTAAAATCTGCACATGATGTACAGAAGTATAAACAAATATCAAATATGTAGGATGTCCGAAAGAGTTGAACACCCTGTATATCGTAAACGTCAAATGATGTAAAAAATGATTCGACGAGACGTTGGCCCCGTGAAGCGTTGAATCCAGCAGAACTTCCCACGTATGGAACGGCAATTATTCCCACGCGCAAGACTCGCCATCCTAGGCAATTACCTCTTCAATTACTTACGTTAAACTGGAAGGTCGAGGCTCGCAGCTGATAAAACGCGTTACTGATTCGCCTGTGGTTCGGCTGGGGCCACGGTTCGCCCTGGGTGGCTAGCACCCACGGGCCGTTCCCGTGGTTCAACGAGGCGACCCTTTGGATCAGCAGGGTCAGGAGGCACGAGACCAAACCCAGCGACAGGAGGCCTCCTTGGCACCTGGTCTTCATCGTGGTCATCGGGGCTAGCGCGCGGCGATGAATGGAAGAGCGATGCGACGCCAGCGAGTGGTCATCGTCTACTGAACGCGGAGAACGAGACGCGTGCGGTAATGAGAGTGGTAACGACCTTAGACTCCTCCACTTAACTTTCATCACTTCGCCTGGCGAAGTGCTCACGGTCAAGTGGCAACGAACGGCCAGTCCACGGTTCGGCAAAGAAATTCTCTTTCGCGCCGGTGTTAATGGAACGTTGACACCACACATGGAATTCCTACGGGTCACCGCGCTAGCTGGACAATCGCCTGGATCGCTTCGACGAGCACGAGGTGACTGTCCACAGATTTTGTTTAAAAGATCGTCGCGTGATTTTAACGGGGGACAGTAGGAGAGTGCGATTTGACTAAAATTTAATCAACATAGAAGAGAAGCAAGTTGCAATTGGAATGCTTTTGAAGCAGTTATTTCGATCGCGTTAATTAGTACAAGTGGACATTATACAATAATTTGTTTTCGGAATTCCCTCGTGAGATAATGTTGGATAAGTATCAAGTGATAAAAATTATGCAAACAAAATCAGTGTTTGTCTTTATCAATCATCTCTGAAGATCATCCGTGCAAACAATAACTAAGATAATGTTCAATAACTTGGACTTCGATATCATTAACGATACAGATTTAACGGATAATGATTAACGATCAAAATATATATTCTCCCGGTAGTATTGAGGATCATGGGAATTCGGTCGGTTTGCGAATTATTTAAAAGGTTGCCAGATGCAGTGCCGCCAAAGTCATGGATTTGCATCGCATTATAGACACGTCCCGTTGAATGGGAGACGTCCTCTTATCGTGTCTGAATTAATTGGAGAATGAAGTTCAGTCGAGCGTGATATCGTCAGCTAGTATCGGAGCGGCGAGGAGGCATCGAAGTGCAAAGGTCGACGATCGCTCCGAGTCTCGGAGGTCTCGTACGCCGATGGATCATCGCGATTATTTCCCGGGAATGACGCGGAACAACATATTTTCCTACACTTTTATATCTAAGCGTAAACTAAACGGTTCTATCGCTTGTTGACGCGCGTATCTGCCCGTGTCAGCCTCTCATCGAATCGGCGACTCGTCGTTCATTATCAGCGGATCGTATAAAAAAATCATAAATTACAGCTGAGCGTTCGATCTGTACCGAAAGAGCCCGCCGGGATCATTTGAGGAGCTAAGTCATCGAGTAAATACTAGTTGAGGAGGCACGAATTCGAAGGTGGCGAGACCACTCGAGGAGATTAGGGCAAAGCGCGGGTGGTGGAATGAAAAACGGGGGAAGGCTTTTCCCTCTGCTGTCTGTGTTATCAAAGAAGCCGCTGACCGATCGTAAAACACGAGCTTGCGCATTTCCTCCCCGTTCCGTGTACGACGACGACGACGATTCCTCCGGCCTCCGCCGACGAACACGCGTGTTCCACGGTTTCCCCGATTTAACACGTGACGAGAGGAATTTTATGATAGGAAAAAGGCATGTTCGCCGGGTCAGATGTTTGTACAGTGGTAAGGTAACGCGAGGACAGTCGATATAATTTTCAATCACACGATTTCTGGTAAATGACATTTATTAATTGTTTAAAAATTTTATAACGTATTAACATTGATAGTCTGAAACGTGTCCCGTTTTACGGGATTTGATTTGTAAGAGCCAGCAGGTGATACAGCACTGCTCGGTGAGTCGTAACTTCATTGATTGCGATGTTGTACGCCGGGTCGACGAACGCCAGAGGGGTGAGACGAAGGGCTGCAAAGTGGAACGTGCATCCAGTGACGTGTCACAAATTGTAGACACCACGTTAACGTGATCCCTAAAACAGATGAAAACATTTGTAACATCGATGTTAAATGAGATTCAAATACTTTCTCCTATCATTTAAGCACGTAGCTTCTGACGTCTCGTATATATTTGTACGTCGCAGTGTTCGTATTCTGTGCACGATCAATTAACCTGTGACTGCATCGAATCTGGCAGAATTTATTCATTTAAAAAATTGTTTAATCATCAGGACCGACGACGATATTCATTAATGGAGGAGGGTAGCTCGTCGCCTGAATCCGTCACTGCGTTTGTCAGCCTTTGATTCTTCATTCACGAGCCACTGACAAACGCGACGAGATGAATTCGTAGCAGTACTCGTTGCTCACGCCTATCGACCTCTACCCGGTGATCAATTGGACCGATAAACCTATACCCAGGATTGTTCATCGCCCTGCTCCGAAACCGATGGTTCCCATTCCTAGCAAATGTTTTTCTAAACACCCCTAAGAGCTCTAGGAGGATGGAAATTTCTCCGGACAAACTTTTCCCATTAGAGGTCCCTTCTCATGGCAAGATGGGCAAACAAAACGCGATGCTCCGAATCCAAAAAATCGGCGAACTCTTTGCTCGTAGCGTCGCGACGCTCATGGATCTGCGCGAGCGCGCCAGTCCATTGCGCCTGAGGGGAGAGCGACGACCAGTTTGGTGGGGTTCGTTCAGTATACAGGGTGAGCCGCTACGAAACTATCCACCGGCCGTTAACCTCGTGATAAATCTCGATCTCGATCTTATTGGTAAATCTTAAAACATAAAAATAAATTCATCTGCTGAACTGCATCGTTAAACGAATCGATTCATAGCTTCTGTCGACGGAACGAGCCGCCGTACGGAGATAGTTGCCGTCGACCCACCCCGTGCATAGCCGTAAGGGTAGCTCTGGTGGGGTTGAGCGCGAGGAATCGAGCGGACGCGACGCGTGATGCTCGCAATAGTAGTAGTCCGTCGTAACAACGTCGATGACGTCGACGGAGGGCGCTGCCGACGGCGCGGTCCACTTAATCGTTGCCTGCGTAGTAGTAGCCGGCGGTGGTAGTGAGAATCGTAGTGGCGTGCGTACACGAGGCGACGTGCTCGTGTGACAGAGCACCCCGCGGTCAGGGGAGGAACGGGAGGGGGAGGTCGAGAGACAGCGTGCGCCGCCTGGAGAGAGGATAGCGCGTATATATAGGCGACCGGGAGAAAGAGAGGCGAGAAAAAAGCTGGAGCGAGAGAGGGATAGGGGGGACGAAACGAGCACAGCCGGCGACACGGCGAAACGAAAGGGTGGTTCGCTCGCTCGCGGTTACAGTTTAGTCCCGTGAGTGCGTGGAGTCGTGGCGTTCAAGTCGCCCCGGTGCCGCTTTTAAACGGACGGAAGTCGATTTCTACCGAGCCACAGTTTCCGGTACCGCGAGACGTGCCTCGATCTCGCGCGTACTCCTCGCCTCGTCCAAGGGGATGAGTTTTTTGTGTGTACCGCGTACGTACGTAGGTGTAGAGCAGGGCGAGCCCCGAGGGTGAAAGGGAGAGAAGGCTACGTAGGTGTGTGCGCGGCCGCGAGATTCGTCGAGGGTATAGAGAGGAACAGAGAGGGATAGGTAGAGAGAGAGATAGAAAGAGGACGAGAGAGCGAGAGGTGCAGCGGCACGGAAGTGTGGCGGTGTCGAGTCGTGGTGGATAGTGGCGGTTCGGGCGGTAGGTCGGATCGGTCGGTTGAACATCGTTTTCGTCGTCGTCATCGTCGTCGTCGTCGTCGTCGTCGTCGGCGTCGCGATCGTCGTGGTCGGTGACGAGGGGCGAACGAAAATAGGCTGAGGGAAAAGGAACGGTAGGGTGAGGACGGAGAAGGCGGCGGCAGCGGTTAGGAAGAGGAACGTGGAGAAGAGACCGCGGGACCAGTGAGAAGAGACGCGAGGATGAGATCGATAAGGAGGTGGTATGGGTTTCGCGAAACGGGAACGTCGCGACGCGTGTAGACACGGATAGTAGCTGGTAAACAGACGCGCGTAAAATACGCACGCACGCGCCTCCGGAGCCGGCTTCACGGAGCGAGCACCGTGGAAGGACGAGTCGGTTCTGGACACCGGGAGGACGCGAGCAGCGAGCGGAGATCGAGGACCTGGACCCCGGAAAGCGAGGGAGAGAGGATGATAAAAACGGGGGTGTGATTGACCGGTGGAGCACGATTTCGAGGGAACGAGACGTTCGTCCCTCTTTCTCTCTCCCCCCGCGATCTCTGTCCATCGCTACTCGATGGGCTTTGCCGGTGAAAGAAGGTCAAAGATCGATCGCGGTGTACGAGGGTCGTGACCTCACGCATCCACGGGACGAGCCACGCGTGCGGCACGGCTTTCTACGACGGAAGAGGATCGGGGAAACGAGGAAAGGAGAGAATTGGTTTCGCTCGACGACGACGATGCCGATCGATCGCCGGGCTGCTCGTCGATCGTCGCGTTAGGCGTTGTCGTCAATGCTTGCCGCGCGTCGACGAACATTTTCGCGTAGAGTAGAAGGGCCGCCAGGCCGGTTCGGGGCCAGGTCGCGTCAGAAATCGGATTCGATCGGATGGACATCGCGGTGGATCTCGAAGGATCGAGGATCGACGCACGTGACTCAAGTGAAAGCGATGCGCGAGGTTGATCCGAACCAAGTAGCGAGGCTAGATCGACGCGAATCGTGTAGGACAGAAGTATCGTAGAACATTAGACGGAGGAGTGCGAAAGGGTGGAAGAGGAGCGAGGTGGAGGAAGAGGAGAGCGTTCGAGCAATCGACGGAAGGCGAACGATCGTTGGGTTATCCGAGGAGCAGCGAAACGCGCGAGGAGACTGAGGGAATCCTCCACGAGAAGGCGGAAGAGGCTCGGATAGAGCGCGTGCCACACTAACCGGAAGAAGCGAGAGGACCGATCGACGAATCGAAACAGCGGCGTAGAAACGATGTCGCGAGACCCGTACTCGAGCGGAAGCGGAGTCGGGCCGGGAGGCGGCACTCGTTCGCCTCGCAGCGGTCGTCGCGTAGGCGAACTGCCCACGGTCGACCGTAGCCCGTCGCGGAGCTACGCGAGCGGCCGTGGCAGTCCTTTGGGTCGTAAGAGAGGCACTCGAAGCGGGAACAACTCGCCGGAGCACCTCGGATACGGCAGCTACCATCACCATCAGCTGGGCAGTCCGTACTACTCCCGCGACGAGGACCTCGCCAGTCCCGTGATGCTCGAGGAGAGGGGCAGGAGTATGTCAACCGGGGGCGGTGGGGGCGGACATCACAGATCCAGAAGCGCCTCGAGACCCGCCATGTCCAGCTCGGCGGGCATGTCGGCGAGGTACACCAGCCTCGATCGTGCATCCGCGGGTATACTCGATCACGACCGCGAGTTCGTGCCCATCAGGGATCCCCGTGAACGTAGCCGCGACCGCGGATTGTACCTGGAGGATGAGCTCTACGGTTCGAGATCGGCCAGGCAGAGCCCGAACCCGCACATGCTCCGCGACACCGGCGGATACATCGGCGAACTCCAGCATCAGAACAACGATCTCCAACGAGAGCTCGGGAACCTCAAGAAGGAGCTCGAGCTGACGAACAGAAAGCTCGGCTGCTCGATGAATAGCATCAAGACCTTCTGGAGTCCCGAGCTCAAGAAGGAGAGAGCGCTGAGGAAAGAGGAGAGTTCCAAGTACAGCCTGATCAACGAACAGCTGAAGCTCCTCAGCTCCGAGAATCAGGTCAGTCGACTGCGGATTTTTCTTTCATCCTTGCCTCGCCTCGCCCTGCCGCTTGTTTCCTTCCACACCTGGCTCCTTCCACGTAACGAACCGTGGCAGACACGGAGGGTGCGTAAAGTTCTCGTCGTGCGACCCTTCGGTCCGTTCTCCGTGACCCATTTCCGGTGGTGACACGCGTCAAATCTAGGTTACGACCCGACGGTGTCGCGTTCATTTTTCGCGTCATTCGTCGCGTCATTCGTCGCGTTCCCTCTAGTCGTTTCGAACAATGCCCGCTTTTCCAAAGACGAGCTCTCGCTCATCTCGATCCGATTCTAAAGCTACTTTTTTCTTCCGCTTTCCGATAGACGTGCTTATTGATTGGCCAAAAATGTTGCGCCAAGGGGGAGCCACCGATGTAACGACCCCCCGATAATTTTCTACCCGATAATCAATCGTTCTCCGCGTTCCTCGATCATCCGAAGTTCGTTCGTCATCGACCTAAAACGCGTAAACGTTCGTACAAACGAATTGTCGCTGGTTGTCGCACTTCGATCCTCTCCAGGCGTCGCAACAAGTCCTGTACGAACTCTTTTGCGTTTCCTTCGACGAAACGTGTACGCATTGCCTTCGAGCGTGGATCAATATGCTGGCTCGCGAAGCCGTGTCGCATATTTATATAATCTCCTGACCGAGGTGCACGAAACTTTCTCTAATCAGTGGCACGAAGGTAAAGCCGACCCCTGTTATAGTTATTTAAGAAATGTTTAACACAGATTACTCTCGCTGCGAAACTCGTCGGGGAAGGGGGCTGCGTTCAGAGGTTTCGCTCGATTACGAGCGTGTCACGTGAGCGACGCTATATCAGCCTTAATCGAGGCGTTTAATTCCTCGTCGTCGCGGCTGGAGAGGAGCTGCGCGATTTCGCGCAGTTCCCAGTGAATTGTCGAATAAAAATACTCGTTTTCAAACCGAGGAGATGAGAGAATCGTCGAAAGAGAATTTTTCTCGGAATCCTTCAAACGATTTATCGGATCGTCTGCAATCATACCTCTCGTAGATTATTTTCAAAATGTTCACCATCTGCTCCGTGAATCACGAAACCGAGCCTCGACGTCGTTTTGAAATTATAAAAAAAAATCGAAAATGCATGTTTTAAAGAAATCCGTACTACGTCAGGTTTTGCCGAGGAAAGAATTTCTTTCTATCGTTCCAAGTTAATCACTGACTCTGGTTATCAATGTTCCTCGGTTCTTTACTCTAGACATATTTTTGGCCTGCGTGCATGAGTCATGAGGCGAGGGCAAAGGAACGAGGGAATCTCTGGCCAGCTGCCCACGTTTATTTCTTTTCATCCGGCGTCTGGCATCGCGATGCACGGACAGAATCTATGTTCTTACACCGTCGTCGATCACCGTTCACCCAGCATTGTTCCTGCCGAGGGCCAGTTCCACCGTACAATTGCATAATTCCGACGCACACTCCGTTGCGATTAGTGTTAAAGGTTGGGTTATCGACGCGATGTCAGGTGGGAACGCGGAATCGGCGAGCCAGGTGGATGGGTTTAGTGGGCGGTTTGTGGGAGATTACGGTGAATCGAGAAGAGGCGTATAGGAATCGTTCGGGTTGAACATAGAGAGAGTATCATGCAGAAATAGAACATAGTATTTACTACAGAGACTATTGAATCGAATTTGGTTTCTAAATGCAGTATAGCTTTTTTATTTAAATACTTCTTTATTGTATATTTGACGGTTTGCATAATCAGTTTTAAAGAAGATGCATTCTGAGACGTTTAATTGGGATTTCGTATTAGCACGTTCGACGCCGTTAACAGGGAGCCTTGGAATTGAAGCTGGAGTAAACGCATTAAGTTGCGTCGGGGTCGAAATGAATTTTCCTTCTCCTTTCGAGGCCGCGTACGTTACTCGCGGTTACGTTACTAAATTGGCGTGCGCCGGAAGTGGGTCGTAAAAAAATGCCAGAACTTTTGCAACGCTATCGTTCCACGGACTGATACCCGCTACAAACTGATGAAAAGAGGAAGAGAGCCACGGAAATTAAATCGTGGCCTCGCTTATGAAAAGTAACGAGCGCTTTTTTCGCATCTGCTTGATTTCAGGTATTAATTTAATTTCCCGTTTCAAAGTGACAGCTCTTTGTCACGGAATTAAAATCGTTTTTCGACCAAGGCTGGATCATTGACGCCAGAAGGATTCTTATGCAAAATGAAACATTTATGCGAACCCAGTTAGGAATTTATTTCATTTTTTATGTCAATTCTGTTCTCTGCACTTTTTTCGACGATATTTCTGTAAACGCGTGAACTACGCGGAGAGCTGATCTGCGATGTTAGGGCGATTTGGAACGTTGTTTTGTACGTAGCGAGAAATTGCATAGAATAGCAATCCCTCGGATCTAATTGCTCACTTGACACAGTTCCCGATGAATGAAAAATTAGTTGCTGATGGCCTATTCGCTATGCAACGCGTCGCAGTGTTTCTGTTTTTAAACGTATACTATAGCACGCGACCCAGGCATCAGGATCACAGATCTCCCGGCTGCTCCATTTTTACAGTAACTTATTCTCGAACCGAGATTTCACTCGGTCGAAAACTCAATTTGCGGTTAGGTACACTTGGACCGTATTGCGTTCTCTCAATGAGACAGTCGTCCAGTGAAAACTAGGTCTTGTGTCATTTGCACTCAAGAACTTGATTACCTGGTTTCGAGAACTCGACCGCTATCAAACTTCGATGCGTAAACGTGTTCACGTTAATACGAACATCGAATCTACTCCTATTTTCGAAATACGTACAATCAGACGTCTTATTTTATAAATCTCATTTTCGGACCGAAGATTTCGTGGAACGTAGTTGAATACCTGTTTTAATTTTTGTGAACGAGCAATGTTAACGTTTATTCGAATTTAATTGAGCTGTTAGTGACCGAACGAGAAATTGATTTGGACAGTGAAGAATGAAGATAAATCACGTAGCGCCGTTGACCACAGGCTTCTGTTCAACTTAATGTCGTTCAAGTGGCCACTCTAATGGTTGCTGCTCCCTCGGCTCCATACTTACTCCGATTCATCTGAAACGCAGCAGCTGTCTAGCCGGAGAGAGAGAGAGAGAGAGAGAGAGAAAAGGGGGACCTACCACTACACCGCTGTAATTGAATCACACTTTTGTAACTTTCATTCAAGGCTGACTGAGAGTACAAAACTCGACTCCAGACGCCAATTCTACCTACAGTAACTTCAGACAGGAAATTCAATTGGAAACTTAAGAATTCGTTAGCGGATCTCTGACAGATGCGAACAGAAATATGTTCCCATAGTTTATTGTTACGATCCCTACAACAGCTACCCCAATTCCTTTCTACGTCACACTGTTCTTTCCCGTTCTGTCGTCTGGCTTGCAACTGCCGTTACTCAATAAGAAGTGTCACATACGACTTGTTTATTAATTCTATCAGAACGAATCACGTACGAATTTATTACAACTCGTCCGAGGAGCGCAATTATTTTAGAAATCGATAACCCAGAAATCCGAATCATTTTTATATCTCACAAACTTTTACATCTGTCATTCTGCATGCCTGACGACGATCGAAGTATTCCCTCGTGGAACGATTCGATTCCTCCGATCCAGGAATACATCTATAAAATCGCAATCTATCAGAAACTGTGCAGCTGGAAAGTGGGAAAAGTTTCGTAGACGACACCGGGTGAGAGTCGTTCGGGAAAGTGGCGTATAGCTAGTACAGGTCCGCGTAAAGTGCAGCGCACAGCACACGTCCGTCTATATCGATCGGCCTAAATATATCGAGGCGGATTATTAGCGAGAACCTATGCCACACGGTCTAACTATGGCACGACCGCATTGTTCCGCGAGGGACTACAGAGTAAACGTGTCGCCCGTGGACTTCGAAAATGAATCGATCCGGTCCGACACCATAATGGATCCATTTATTCATTCAACAGCCGTTCGACGAAGTAACAAAACGAATAGAATAAGAATAATCACATTAAGTTACGTATAAAATACAATAAAACGAAATACAGGCTGTTATACTGATTGAAATTCATTTCGTCAGACTGCAGAATTTTTACATTGTGCACAATTTACGCGAACATTTATAAAAGTAATCTCGCGACTGATTGAAACGCTTTGTTCGGTGCATCGGGCAATTCCCGTTTTCATTTCTAGCCGCGTTAAATTCGTCTCGTGGCCAGACGTATAATCTTGCCGTGCTGAATGCGTGTCATCTCGGTAACCCTCTATAAATCACGCTTTGAAGGCGCGCGCGCGCTCCCCATCGGGCACGGTAGCTGTGGCTTTAATGAGGAAGTGACTACGAGCCTGCCAGTCACCGTTATTTGTACATATGTACAGGCTAGGCGACTTGCTTAGACGCTCGTCATCTCACAAAGCTTCCCTCGTTCTCTGAAATTATTACGAGCAGCAAGCAGATTTCGATGTATGCAGGAAACTTGTGATTCGTCTGACGTTGTGATTAGACATTTTGTCTACAGAATAGAAACTCGAAATTATAGTGAAACGTATCGAGGAAGGTCCGATAATCGAATGTTTTCACGGATAATGCAGTGGCGGACGACTGAAACGAGTCGCGGGTGGATTAATCCTCGACATCGATTCCGTAATCTATGTCAGATTACTTAACGGGATGACCCTCGTGGCTATTTCTGTGTACGTCAAAGTCCGTGTTCAAAATCGATCTGTCCCTTGGATTGATGCATTCCTTCTCTCTCTTTTTTTCTTCCCTCCCACGAATGCACCGTCGTTGGTCGATTTAGAGCCGATAAAAGGGAGTCCCGATGCAAATGCATCGAGCTTAATGCTTGACAACGTGCCAGCAGCTCGGTAACAAACATCGCTACCATTATTCATACCGTTACGTATCCTGCGATTTAAAATAGAGGACCGAAACCCGGTAAGGGTCCGTTTCTGTAGATGAGAAATTTTATCAGAATCCTTCTTTCCCCCTTTTCCATTATC